CCATGTCAGCAGCATGGACGCGCTGTTCCAGCATGAATTTATCATTGAATCGAATCGCGAAGCGGCCGAATTTGAGACGCATTTGAAGCTGCTGCTGGATGAGCATGCTCTGCAGCTGCACGAGCATACGGGCAGAATTAGTGTGCAGGATAATGAGTGCTCGCGGGTTATACTGGCTGCTCTGGCTCCATTTCTGTGCCTTTACTATCAGCTGGCAGTCACGTTGCGACAGGTTAGTAAATGGTTTTTAACTCCAGGAAAACTTTCTTAACTTTTGTGAAACCCTGTCTGCGCAGATGTCTGGGGAGTTCAGCGCGAGGGATCTGTTGGTGCGCGTGCAGCAGCATGTGGAACAGCTGCTGCAGCAACCAGGTGGATCCGCGGCCCATGTACATCCATATTGCCTGGCCTTGGACAATCTCAATATCGCCATCTATGCGCTTATACAGTCAGGCTATCTGCACAAATCTCGCGATACGGGCTTGATGTGCGTTGCTACGGCAACACCAATGAAGTGCCTCAGGCAGCTGGAGCTGCAGCTGCTCGAGTATTGCCAGCTGATGCCATTTGCTCAGTACTCGACGGCGGCCAATGAGCAGGCCCAATCGCATATGGCCAAATTATAACTGACAAATGGCAAGCGGTTGGCCAACAGCTCACTGCCCACCGCCTTGGCAACGTCCGCATCCAAACAGCATTTCACAATATCACAATTCATACAATTCATTGTCAGCCTGCTCAAGAATTGCCGCATTATATGCATACTCATTGTGTTTGTACTTGTGGCGCCGTTGTGGCAATTACTACTGTGGCTGATCGCAACCCTGTGCTCAGCGGCATAGTGTGTGCGTGTGTGCGAGTGTGTGTGAAGTATTTGGGCTAATGGCATGATGGGTTTGTCGTTTGTGTATACGAGAATACGTTTTATTAGTCCTTAAGTATTTAATAATAATTGATATTTTGATTTGTTGCCATACACAAAAGCTTAACCCAAAACCATTTTGGATGACAGTCATTGTAGGTCTAGGAAGTCAGGTTTTTTATAGCTAGAGATCCCAACGACATTTGTTCATATGTATGCAAACATATAAATCCATTTATAGTTCTTGCGGATGTTTGATATGATCTAGTTTGTAGCCTTCAGTTTATTTCAAATATTAACCTTATTGACTTTTAAACATTCCTGGTAAAATGCACAAAAAGCCCCTTTTAAGTGAATTTATTTCAATTTACACGTTATATTTTATTTACTATCGTTTTAAGATATTTACATGTATATGGGTTTTAGTTTTGTTGGTAATGTTCATATGTGTTAATTTTTATGTTTGTCTGTTTAGCCAGAATGGCTTGTATTTTTTGAATAAAACAAAGTAATTGTATCTTAGCTTAATAACATCAAATAATGTAAATATAACAATGTTAGCAATAATTCGCCATAATCTTAACTTTGTTGAATGTTATTGAAAAGGCGCTTTCACTTTTAAATGAAACTAAATGTACTGTTACTATTGTACTGTTACCAGAATGTAAACGTGTTAGTAACAGCGCATCGCTGTCTCTTGCTCTTCTAAAAATAATCCTGTTCTGTTAACGCATTGCTCACAAAAGCGATCTAACATATAAATGCATGGACATGTTAGTAACAGCACGTCTGAATACTAATCCTTATGTCTCGTGCTAAAAGAGCAATTTTAATTAATATGAAAAACAGTTTTAACTTAAATAATTAAGTTTAGTAAACATTGCAGAAAAATGTAATCAATAACTCAACAATGTAACCGAAAGGGTCAAATATTTGGTGTTAAGGATTTTACTAGGCAACATTTGACACACTTTCGTAAACATTTTTTAAAAATCCCTTGCAGAAATTAGAGACATCTACAACTCACTCTCATAGCAGGTCAAGCTCATATTCAATTGTAACAATTGCCCGAAACAGGGAAATCAGAATATACTTTTTTTTATAGGTGTTGTAAGATTTTCCCTAATTCCAGAGTATCTAAACTTCATCAAGCTGCAGCCAACGTCACGTTTACGGTTTTAAGTACATTTAATTACTAAAAGTAATTAGCGACAAGCTTAGAAGTGCCAATTAAAAAGCACTTATATTTTCATTAGCAAATTAATTCTAGTAAGTAGAGACCCTCAAGTTTGATATATTCTCAATATTTTTATAATGCTATATGCAGAGGAATTTTCTTGTAAGAACAAAAATCAAAAACTGAAGCACACAAGTCTAGCAACAAATAGTGCAATATTTTGTTTATGCTTAAATATTTTTTAAACATATTTAATGGTATATAAGTTTTTTGTAGCTAAATTTATATACATTTATATGTATACTAGAGAAACCGAACACCAATATACTAATTTATACACTATATTAACAGCAAAAATAAAATATATTAAATTGGTGCCAGTTGCGCCCTTGCGAAAGATTAACAAAAACAAATAAAAAAAAACTCAAACTGACTTTTAAAATGTATATTGTATGCTTAGGCAAGAGAGGGGAGAAGTTTTAATGGTTAGCAAAACTCGCGCTTGAACTGTTCCAAGGTGCGCTGACTGATGACCACACGCATGAGTATTTTCTCCGCATTCTGTTCATCCGCTCTTGTGTCCACAACGGCGGCATTCTTATAGAGCCAGGCCATTTCTGGTCCGCCGCTGGGCACGCGCACCTGTAGCTTTCGGCGTCCAGTTGCGGCCAGAATCTGTTTTTCCACATCCTTGAGCAGCGGCTCCAGGCCGGTCTGAGCGCGTGCCGAGATTAGATGACCCACTGCCGTATTTTGTAGCTGAGCCACAGCTGCCAATTGAGCTTTCGGTGTTAATAAATCACATTTGTTGTAAACATTGATGATGGGCGGCAATTGGCCGGCACTGGGATCTCCGCCAGCTATGCTGAAGGCCAAGGAACGCAGCGTGGACTCAACATGGGCGCGCTGTGCGGAATGACAGGGATGCGATAGATCCTGCACATGTATAATTATATCCTTAAATAGAAACACGATTATAGAATGTGCATTTAGTTGTATTTTTCACACTCACCGCCAGCATAGCATCCTCCAAGGTGGCCACAAAGCACTCAAATAGGCCAGTGGGCAAATCGGACATAAAACCCACTGTATCCATATAGATGAGCTGCTGATTGCAGGGCAAGTTGCCCGCATGCGCTGTTACATCTAGCGTGGCAAACAGTTGGTTGCGCGGCTGCAGCTTATCCTGCACAGTGAGCGCCTTTATCAGCGAGGTCTTGCCTGCATTTGTATAGCCAACGACAGCTGCAACAGGATAATTTTGCTGTTTCCGCTTCTGGCGCAGCAGTTGCCGTTGTCGACGTACGCCATCCAGCTCCGCGCGCAACTTACGCTCCCTTGTGCGCAGTATCTCCTTTTGCAGATCACTCAGCGAGTAGCCCTGGCGCCGGGTCTGCGTAACGCTCGCATCCTTGGCCAGCGCCCATATATAAGGCAGCTCCGCCATAGCAACCTGCAGACGCGCCTCGGCGCTGGTCGCATGTAGACGCAAGATCTGTATAACTACCGAATAGCGATCCAGCACAGGCAGCTGGAATTCTGTTTCCAGAAATTGTTTTTGTGCAAAGGAGAGCGTGCCCTTGCTTACAAACAGGCAGGTTACCTGCCGCTCCTGCCGCAGATCGGTCATTAGTTGTTTGAGCTCGGTCAGCTTGCCGCTGCCAAAAAGCGTTTTGCGTTCCAGACTCTCCAATGGCACCTTGAGCGACCGAGCCACCTGCCAGTTGGGCAGCGAGTGTATCAGCGCAGTGGCCTCGGCCAGTTGATCGTCAGGCGTGACATTGTCGGGCGTTGTTCGCTTGGCTGACCATTTGACATAGGGTTGCAAGATGAATACGTGCTGCGCTGTGGCCACATCCCTGCTGATGCGCATAGCGCCACCAGCAACTTCATCGTAGGCGCTGCGAAGATATAGATTAATTAAGGCTCAGGCATATGGTTAAGTCAAACCCACCGATCATCCAAGAAACGCATGTCGCCGGAACTCACTGCGGTTGGATCGCTCTGCTCCTGAAGCCCCGCCTGCATTTGAGCCTCATAGAAGCTCTTACGATTGCGTATGCCCTTGACTCCTTGATGTTGTGTATACTTGAAACGGGCTGGAATTTGGGTGATAAATGGGCGTAGCTGGGCAGGCCAGGCCACACGCAGCACCGAACGGAGGCACTTCATGACTTATACTATACTCTTTACAATTTGGCTAATTAAAAGGTTTCCTCTTTGAGCACAGTGTGTTTGCCCTCGTATGCCATCCAGGCCGCTTGACAGGATTTGGTGCGTGTTGACGTCGTTTGATATGCAACACCAGTTGCTACTAAGGAGGAAACCAATACGTTGTACTTAACTGGATAACGTATTTTTGTTTGAACCGCCTTTTGTACAAAATATGTGCCCGCAAATCCTACGAAAAGAATAAATATTATGCAATTATTTTGACAATTAATGAAATGCCTACCTAAACAAAATGATGACAAGCCCGTAAAGAGAGCACGTGTCATGCAGTCCAGATAGCCGTCAAAGCCTGGATGTTTATCGCGTTGCTGTTCCTTCAAACGCTTGATGTCGTTCATAATAATTATTTATTTACGCATTAATTTAAGCGCAAGGAAGTATGTGCCAACCGGCTATACGACGTTGTGCTGGCTACTCTTTTTATGGGCAGCACTGTCTGTCTGTTGTTAGTGCACGATCTGGCAACTACACAGCCTGTTGTTGGGCAGCGCGCACACGATGTAATTCGTATTATCAAGCACTTAGCAGATGCGGTCTTTTTCTTAGAGATGTACAAGATTAGTTTAGATTTATATAAAATGCGTTTATATAATGGTAGCAAGTTAACTCGTTTTTTAAATGACGCATTAGTTAAAATTTGAATGATATACGCAAGTCTACAATCAAATGAAGTATTTGAGTGGCAGATGATAGGCAGCACTTTCTGATGTTAGTGTCAGCCGGTCCGGCAACGACATTCCGCTTAGTTGTTGTTTGTGGCGTTTTCTCAAGATTTTGATGCAAAATGGATGTGGAGAAGATTTGTCGCACTTGCCTTAGCCTCTCGGGTCCATTTTTGTCCATTTATGATGGTGATACTGGCAGCTGCTTGGTCGATATGCTGCGCGAATTCACAAGGACTAAGGTAAGCCTTGGATTTCAAATTCCAGTCGCCCCAGACTTAATTCCTCTTCTTCACAGCCGCGGCGCGAGGATAATCTGCCAGCCAGGGTCTGTCTTAGTTGCATCAGTGAAATTAACCACTGCTACTCATTTAAGCTTAAATGTGAAAGCTCAAACCGAACGCTGCGGCAGCTGCTGCCCAATGCACTCCCCGAGGAGCCGGATCAGCCATCGACAGCAGCCAAGTCCGCAGTGGCTACGTCCGAAAGCTCCGTGCAAACTAATGCGGTGTCAACAGCCACAACTGAGGCACAAACGGATGGGGTTGCCACATCAGATGCCGCGCAAAACACCAGCATTGAGGAGCCAGCTCTGCTGGCCAACGAACCTCTGATAGATGAGGTGGAGGGACAGGAGGAGGAAGAGTATGACTATGAATTTACCGAAGAGCAAGAAACAGATGAGACACCGTCCAAGGCGATCGCCGAGAATATAATATTGCATGTGGAAAAAGACAATATTAAGTTTGAAACGGAAATGGTGTACAATAAAAACACAGGCGAGCTGCTTGAACAGGCGGTGGAAACAGTTGCCAAGCAGAAGGAGTATAAATATCGGCTTGTCAGCAATGGTAATGGCGACACATACATCTCACCAGAGCCTGCGCCAACGCTCGCGCTGCCTTCGCGCAAAAGTGCCACAAAGCTGCCTAAGGAGGAGCAATCGACGCATCAGGAGTCACAGTCAACGTCCAAGCGCAGCGTGCAGCATCAGTCGGAGGGACAGCTGGATGAGCCGTCGCCTTCAAAGAAATCAAAACCCATTAACTCAAATGGCACACCTGCAGGTGAATTGGATGAGTTGAAGGCCAAGTTCCACTGTGATCGCTGCAATGCAGGCTTTGCGCTGGAGAAATCCCTGATCATACATCGGCGGCAAAATAGCTGCACACATCGCAATTTCAAATGCAACGAGTGCGAAAGGGTATTTGTTTCGCTGGATCATTTAACCGAGCATCAGGCAACGCATGGTGCATTCATATGTCAGGAGTGCGGCTTGCGCTGCGAGTCCATGGAGCAGCTGGGCAGGCATATGGTGCAGACGCACAAACGGAATCTACGCAATCAGTGCAATGTTTGCCAAAAGGGTAAGCCAAGGACAAACATTTTGCTACTTTTACTCTAAAATTTGTCATTTTGCAGTCTTCACCATGTTGTCCACACTACGAGATCACATGCGTATCCACACCGGTGAGAAGCCATTTGTGTGCAAAGTTTGCGGCAAAGGCTTTACACAGAATGCGAATCTACGCCAGCACATGATGCGTCATTCGGATATAAAGCGTTTCAAGTGCGAGCTGTGCAATCATTCTTTTGTAACCAAAGCGGAGCTGACCTCCCATGCGCGCACCCACACCGGTGTCAAGCCGTATCAATGTGAGGTCTGCTCCTCCAGATTCACCACCAGCTGCTCCCTGGCCAAGCACAAGCGCAAGCACACAGGCGAGCGACCCTATGCCTGTGACTTGTGTCCCATGCGGTTCACAGCGCTCAACGTGCTGAAGAATCACCGACGCACGCACACTGGCGAAAGGCCCTACGTTTGTCCCTTTTGTTCCAAGAGCTTTACGCAACGTGGCGACTGCCAGATGCATCAGCGGACGCATCAGGGCGACAAGATCTACATATGTCCTGTGTGCAGCGAGGAGTTCAAAACGATGACAGATATGCGCACGCATCTGACGATGCACGAACAGGACGACAAGCGATTGGTGCATTTCACCCTGCTGAGCAACAAGGAGAACGGCAATGCGGCGCTAGAGGAGGCGGACGAGGAGTCGGATGCAACCGATTTGCTTTAGGTGATGGAGGCGCCGGCAGCGGCGGTGGCTACTTTTCCCTGTGGGAATTTTTAATACGCTAGGTCTTAAGATGGGATGTTCCATAGATTAGAGCTGGAAAATTATCGACAGAGCTGATACTCTCGATATTTAACGTTAAGGGTTTCCAGTGTAAACGGATTAGGGGGCTTTATACTCGGTACTTATCATTTGTTGGAGCTGTCAATTGTTACTATCGATATTTAGTAAAAGGCATAGAAAAACATATGTTCATATCCTAAAGCTACATAAATAACTATTAGGCTCGCGGTGTTTTAAGCACAAAAAAATACAAAACATATATGTATATACAAACAGTAGTTTATGCTCTGATCAGTTGATCGATCAGTTGAGCTGTCGCTATAGATGTTTCACACAGGGTTAATCAAGAAATAAATAACCTATCGATCGTTCAAGCTGTAATTGGAGCTAGTATCGGGGTATGGACAAACGGAGTGTTTAGTGTATACAACTTTTCGAGGCTCATTAACATTCTTTTTTATATTAAATGTAAAAGTTCTTATGAAACTAAAAACCATGCTTATCGATTTATCACAAGCACGCCCTATTATCAATAGTTCGGCGGTAGCTCGATTGTTTTCCAGCTCAAATTTAAATTATGACATTATTTTGTAGAATTTTCTTAGTCTTTAATTTTAGCTTACAACAATAGTTATTAAAATGCTTATGAATCGATATATGCACTTGGTCGTCTAGTAGAACTGTCCAAACTGGGCCGGCTGTTGTATCGCCGAGGTGGACGCCTCTGTCGTGGCGACAGCGACAGGCAGATTGAGTGATGCGCCGCTGGTTACAGGCGGATCGCCTTGAAACCAATTGACCAGCTCATGATGCGCACTCTGCACGCATTTGCGCTGATCGGCAATCAGGTTTTCTGAGTATTTCACATGGTTGGCATACGCCTCCTTTTCGTGCTGCGCATCCTTGGACATCCGATGCAGATCCTTCAGAATCGCCGAGCCCCACAGCTGCACATGTATATCAGGTATTTTACTCGCCAATTGCATGGCTGGCGTCACCATATTCATGCTCTCCTTGGAGTTGCCTATGCTAAGGAAGACATGCGAAAGTAACACCAGAGAGCAGCTGGTCAGGCGATTCAAGTCCTCCGCATTTGCCATTTTAAGCGTTTCGCGCAAGAACCGTCTGTGGAGATTATTGAATTGTGAAAATGAAAAATTCTATAAACGCATTATCTACTCACTTGGCCTCATGAAAGCTGTTTTTGTGGAAGGCATGCAATCCCTGTACATAGTAGAAGCCACCCATTAGCGCCTGGCTGCTGTACGTGTGCGTATTCTCCGTGGACACTGCGTCGAGTATTTGCTTGAGGTCTGCTTCCCGTTTGGTGCGCAGATATATGATGGCCAGATTGAGATTGGCAAAGAGCTTGAGATCCCGTTCGCCAGTCTCGTTTACACACACCAAAAACTGCCGCTCCGCATGCTCAAAGAAGCTCGTGGACATGGAATACAAACCGATAAGGCAATGCAGCTGAGCCGAATGACGCTTGAGCAGGTTACGATGTGGCGCCGCTATACACACATCGCGGGCAGCGGCTATCTCACGTATGGCTAGCTCACGATTGCCCATAACCATGCGGCACATGACAATATGTTCCAGTAATATGACCTTAAAGACGGATAATATGGATTTGTCCTCCTGCAGTTTCAGTTTCTCGATTTGTGTTAGCGCCTTTTCCGTATACTTTTGCGCCTTGTCCATGTAGCCGGCCATCATGGAGTGCGAGACGGTGACGAGATACACAAGCACATAAAGCTGCTCCTTGGGCAGCCAAACAAACATCTCCAGCTGATTGGCACCAAAGATGACCTCATCGCTTGGCCAATTCGGCGCCATAATGGTCTGTATGGACATTTGCAGCTGCTTTAAACTGGGCTTCACCGTCTTGACCTGCCCCAGTGCCAGATAGTAGCACACTTGCAGCACCAGGAAAAACACCTTGAGATACTCCTTCTGATGCGGATTGGGTATGTTATTGTCGATTATCTGGCCCGCTGAATTAAGCAGCGCCAGCACATCATTCGTTTTCCGTTCAATCATTAGGATCATTGCGCGTGACAGCAGAAATAGCACCTTTAGGTATGTGGCGCCCGCCTCCTCGGCAGATTCAGCGCCCACTGCCAACAGATCGCTGGCAAGCGAATATTCACGATCGTTGGCGTGTATCTGGGACAGTTGCAGGAGTAGCTTGCAATGCCAATAGACATTGTTCTGTGATAGCTCCACCGCACGTCGCAGCATCGCTTTGGCGTGTGAGCTTTGCTCCGTTTGCAGATGCAGCTGTGCCAGAAGCGACGCCGTGTCAAATTTGACATCATCAAAATTCATTAGCGGCTCTGAGATGCTCCACGCCTGCTCCAAATGCTGACGCGCCAAATCTATGTTGCGCGTGTAGGCCATTAGCACTTGTCCCATTTGCAGGTGTGTGCGCGCCTCCACCTGGAGCGTAACGAAATTCAATTAATTGAATATGTTTATAAATTGAATTTGTTGTTGACTTTCACTTGAACTTACCTTTGAAGGCGGCTGAAAAGTGAAGAGCGCCTGTAAACATTGTATGCACTTCTTTATATTTGGCGGCTGTGAGGTACGGAAGTATTCGGCGAGTCCGAGCAGCGATATATAGCAGGCATCCTGTGATGCTGCTGTGGTATTAACTCCACTCATTGCGTTTAATTGCTAAAATCGGCTTCGTTTTGTTTATCGCGTAATTTTGTTGTTGTTGTTGTTGCTGCTGCGTGGGTTAATGTGGTGGTTAATCAGTGTTGGTAAACATTGCGGCGCAGTGTTGCAGTATGCGCCATCGATGAATCGTTACGTAGTCGCAGTGACTAAATAAATAATCTAATCAGTGACTAATGTAAATTTATATGTTTATTGGAACTTAAAATATTTATTTTGTATATTTTGCCTCATTGCAATAAAGTACGAGTTTTAAAGATGTGTATCTTTGAAATACCCTTAACATCCTCGTATCATAGTACACTTATTCGATTACTGCTATCGATTAATCGTTATATCAAAATATTACTCGAGCCGCGCTCTGCAATAAGCTCAGTACTAAACTTTAAGCGGTTGCAACAAGTCGTGTTTTGGGTGCAATTCAAGTGATTAAGTCTTATCAAGTAAAAGGTATTTAAAAATGTATTTTATTAAAATCTCTTATGACAGTTTAATAACTACCACAACGACCGGTTTTTGTTTTAAATCGAGCACTCATCACTTATGATTGTCATTAATGTTTACAATTGCTATTTATAATTGCACAATCTATGGTGAATTATGTGCACTTAAGTCTCCTGATCCAGTAAATAAATGGCTTTCTGTGGTTGTTATTGTCGCACGCAATCACAATTCGCTATCGTTATACAAAATGAGTGTGGAGTTTGATTTATGTGGAATTTTGTAATGGCATTGTTATTGACGCTTGTTTCTTCAATATATATATATATATATATTTATATATATATATATATATATATAAGTATGCAAGTATAAATATGGATTTACCCTGGAGACTTAAGATTAGCATATTGACGACAAACAGACCCTTTGCTGCTCATTACGAAATTCGAATCAATTTTAAAAATGAACAGTGATAACCATTATAAACTGACCTCACTTGGGGTCACTCGCCAAATACTTATTTAGTTTCTGTCGAATTCAATTTTTCAAAGATAACTATTTAAATGATTTTGTTTTATTATTTCTCTATTAGCAGCAATGACTTTCATGTACAAACAGGCAGTATGTATAGTTTGCACGTTCAATACTTTGCGTCAACTTCAGTTGGAAATTCCCTAGAAACAAGTTGCTTTGTTGTTTGCTTTAGTTTTTTTTTTTTTTTTTTGCCAGTGTGGGCAGCGCAGGCGCGAATGGAGGCTACAGCTGTGTTGGTAAACAGCGTGCGAAAGCTAAACATTAATACGGGTGCGAGAAGAAGAAGAAATTAAAAAAAAAAAAATACCAATTACAAAATCGCCAATACAGGGTCAAAAAAGAGCGCGTAAGCGTTGAAATGTTAACAATTTATGAATCACGCACATATTTACAGTGCACATAACTGTGTGTGGACTCGAAACTGGTTTTGAAAATGTTAATTTTGTGTTGGGGTTTTTTTTTTATTTAACGATGCAAAGCGTTTTCATTGCGTCGGCAAATCACGCAACTGTGACGTCGAGCAGTCAGCTGCGAAAGCCGGCCAAAAGACAAACTCGCTCTTTTTTCACGCTCAGCTGAATCCAACAACAGCAACAACAACAACAACAACAACAACATTAACAGCAAAAACAATCACAAATAGCTTTGTTGTTGCGAATTCGAGTGCAGACAAACTGATAAACTTTCACTTTTCGCCGTCAGCTCAAGAGCAAAATGTTGCAACAGCTTCAAGCTGTGATTAAGATAAATTGGCTACGACAACTTTGGGCGCATCGCCGAGGTGAATCAGCTTTAAGGGATTTTTAATGACCTACAAGCTTGCGCTGCATAAATTTGCCGGCTTAGAGATTTTTGTATATATTAAAGCACACAATAAAATTGGCAAACGATCTTTACGCGTGACGAATACTAAACAGACTTATTAAGGCACGTTTTTCCCATGATCATGTTAGCTGTCGATCACTGTGCAAAATTTGCAAGGCACCTTAGCCGCTTTGTAAGTATTTGCAATGAATTGCAGAGCTAAAATGAAGTTAGAAAAGGAAGAAAGCGATTCCACTGCAGAATGCAAATGCAATATTTTATACCGTTTCGATTGAAAAAATAAATACGGAATTCCTAAAAGGAAACTTAAATATTTGACTTAAACTATGGACAGCTGTGAAAAATAGATGCATTTTAAACAAAAATTTATCCGGAGATTAAATGATTTGTAGCCATATTGACCTCTCAAACTAATAAAAAGATTTAATTAAATTATAAACGATTTGTGTGTCGATGCACTTTCTACAAACACTCCGACAAATAAATAATACTCATAATAATAAAAAATCACTCTGCAAGGCTATGACACTGAATTCCATTCACGTAATATTTGGCAAGAGTGTTGCCAGCCCACTTGCCACATCGAAGGTCACTAATCCCAAACTCTCGTAAATCGTATCTTTGCAGAGAATGAAGGTGTGTTTATCACTGGTGCTGCTGTTGCCGGCGCTGTTAAGCGCCGAATTTTGTGGCACACCGACCGATCCCAGCATGTCGTCCATACGTCCCAATTTGTACCGGGGACAGCAGGAGTTCTCTGTGGCCATGCTGGATGCCATACGTAAGGCGACGCCCAATGAGAATGTCTTCTTCTCACCCTACAGCACATACCATGCCTTGTTATTGGCATATTTTGGCGCCACGGGGGAGACGGAGCAGGAGCTAACCAAGACGCTACGATTGAGCTGGGCACCGTCTAAGGAGGCTGTGCGTAGCGCATATCGCACGGAGAAGCAGGCCCGTGCTCTGCGTGCCAAGGAAATGCCCTTGGAATTCTCCTCCGCCGATCGTCTGTACTTCGATAATCAGGTGAAGCTGGCCAGCTGCTTGGATTCCCGTCTACACGACGAAATTGTGCAGTTGAATATCAGGGACAATGCGGAGCAGACGCGTCAGCAGATCAACTCATGGATTGCCAATGTTACACACGATCAAATCAAGGACATGCTTGCCGCCGGCGATATCGATTCGCGCACTCAACTGGTGCTGGCCAATGCGGCCTACTTCAAGGGCCAGTGGTCCAGTCGGTTCAATGCTGACAAGACCGAACAAATGCTTTTCTATACGTCAAGCGAAAACTATTCCTTTGTGCCGATGATGAAGCAGAAGGGAAATTTCCTGTTGAATCCGGATGAGCGCCTAGGCGCCCATGTACTGCAGCTGCCTTATCGCACATCGATGAAGGAAACCGATGAGGATTCGGATATATCTATGGTCATTATATTGCCACCCTTCAATACCGATGCTCTGGAACGGGTACTGGCCAAGCTAAATGCCGAGACGTTAGAGGCGGCACTCAAGGAAGCCTCGTCTCGCGAGATTGAGGTTTCGCTGCCCAAGTTTGAGTTTGAGCAGCGTCTGGAACTCGTGCCGGTAAGTACGCAGACTTTTGTCAAGTCCAAGTACACCATTATTGATTGAAAAACTTTTCAGATCCTGCGTGAAATGGGCATTAATCAGATATTCGATAGCAACGCCAGCTTCAACGACTTTAGCACCGAGCAGAGCATCAATTTCGGCGATGCCAAGCACATGGCCAAGATCAAGGTCGATGAGGAGGGCAGCATTGCGGCGGCCGCCACCGTTTTGGTTAGCTTCCGTTCGGCCCGACCCATTGAGCCTACCAAATTCGAATGCAATCATCCATTTGTATTCCTGATCTACGATCACAAAGCGAGTGCTATTCTTTTTACGGGCATCTATCGTGATCCCAAGACAATGAAGTAAATGTCGCGCCCCCATAGGAAGATGCGTGTCAGTATGCCAGTACCGTGTGCGAGTGTGTGTGTGACTCCTGTAATAATTTAACTTACAATCGCTAACCAAATTTTGTCTCGAATAAGCGCAAGGACCTTAAGCCTGTAATTGTATTTGTAAAATAAATTATATGAATGTGTATGAACAAACTATTGTAACTTCCAGAGATCTCCAACAGATGTTCGACTATTTGTGGGCAGTGTAAGATTCGGAATATGTTCGAGGATTTTGCTTTTAACCCCGCATTTACTTCCACCCCTTTAGCATTAGTTCGCTGTCTGAGGGTGAGGCTCTGTCCGACATCTAAGTTCCCCATTGAAATAAAAAATACTTATGGTTAAGCATTCAGTTTTGCACTTTTTCTAATTTCTTTATAAAACAGATTGTGTAAATCGTCAATATACATATTGAATTTATTCTTTTTTTTTTTAAGTAAACATTGCTACATAAATACAAAATTAGGAATTTAAATGAGCTACTTAAGAGGAGCTTAGGCAATCTAGTTAACAAACACGCGTATATACAAAAAAAAAAACTTTAATACTTAAAGCAAAGAAATTATAGATTGAATACTTAAGCAGTGTTAATGTCTGGCGGAAAAATTGAAATTTCTTTTCGGCAACTAAATTTGTATGTCATGGCTAAAGCAAAAGCACTGAAGGCACTTTATGTTAGCAAACTGCACTACCTCCATCCTCTCTAACTCTCACTCTCTGGCTCTATAAAGTGCAACAATTTACAAAATAATCTGATTTACTAGTCGATAATGCCTGTTGCTCCTCGAAAACTACAGCTTAAATTCATATATTTTTTTGTTACATGGGGGGAGTGCGGGGTCATCAACAAACAACAGGCTAGTGCGCAATCAGTATAGATTATCAGAGTTAATTTATAGATCGTCTGGGGGCATGGCCACCGCATAGATAGCAAATCCAATGAATACAATGCCACCCACAATGGTGACAGTGCGCACCGAAATTTTGGAGGCCACCAGACGACCGCCAATCACAGCCAAACCAGTGCAAATGCAATGGCCAAGAATGCCGCCAACAATAACACCATAGACGTCCTGAAAAAGTCAATGAGCGGAAATTAGTAAACGAATATACCCAATGAAATGGACACATTTGAATTTGGAGCACCCACCTTGCTAGCAGCCAGAATGATAGTTGTCAATTGCGAACGATCTCCCCATTCGGCTAGAAAAGTCATCGTAAAGGCCTGGGCAAAGATACGCATGGTAAAATAGGTTGCGCCACGACGTTGCACCTTGCTGCGACGTCCGCTTTCCGGATCATGCACCAGCGCCGTGTTGACATCACGATCCAGCTGCAATCAATTCAAGAGCCAATGTTAAAACACATCTCAAGTCACAATTTGAGTTTAGTCTGCTTTCAAAAACTAGATGAGGCGTATGTGTGCAAAGGAAAAACAAAGGGAAACAACGAAAACGGAACTTGCACAATTTAAATAGAAAAAAATTTGTTAAATGAAAAAAAAATATATATATATATATATCACAAACGATCACTTCAAAACAACAAAAGTAAAAAAAAGGACGACACATGCATTTACATTTGTGTGTGCGCAAGTGTGCGTGAGTTAGAACGGTTTGGCAATGGCATAACCTAAATTGCAACTATGCGGAATGTGTGGAAATGAAACAAGCCAAAATTCAATAACGAATAACCCTAACCGCTTGCACCGAGGCATATGCTATTTACTTTAAAATAATATGTAATTTAAAATTAAAAATAGAGCTCCTTAATGAGTGTGGGTGACTGTGGGTGTGTGTGTGTCTGTGTGGGTGTGAATAATTTTGTTTTGGGTATTTGGTTGGAAAAGCAGGTGAAACGTAGATGAAACAACAGGTGTTAACGTTGTTGCTTGATCTCTAACCCGTGCTTTAAGCGCGGCCTCCTCGCTGTCAACGCTGCCACTCAAGCTATGCATGCTATCGTGCTCAGCTAGGGGAGCACGCGGCTTAGCCTCATCGATGTGGCCAGTTTCGGAATTGGGCTCAACGGAAGCATTGGGATTGTTGTTGTTATTGTTGCGTGGGCTATCACAATGGGTTTGTTCGGTCTGGTTCGATGAGGCGATCGATGCCGAGTGCGTTGGACTGCCATGGAACGTTGCCATTTTCAGCTGTTCCACAACACGTCCGCCATCCTTGAGCAGCACCTCGGTGTTATGATAGTCCACATCGTTTCCAGTTTTATCACAGCTCGTTTGTTTAACATTAGTTGAGTTATTGGTGGTATTGTTATTGTTATTATTGTTGACGTTGCTGGTGGGTTTGCGTTGGCGATGCTGCATCTCGGAGCCGCTGCTCGAATTGGTCTTGGGCACAACGACCACATTGCATCCATGTATGAGTGGCTGCTCGGTGGCATCCTCCTTGTCCTCCTTAACATATTTGCGCGACGCTTTGCGCATAAGCTGTCAGTTTTATAAAATATTATCGGGCGTTTCGATTACGTTTCGAGTCGGGTTTAACACAAGGTTATAGATCAATTTTTGTTTGAAAGAAAGAATAATTAAATTTGACATTAGCTAAGTTTTGTATACAAATCGCAAATTGTTGGTTTTTGCTGAGTAAAATTGTTTTCGGGTAAATTGTTTTTGCGGTTAAGCAGCTTTTCAAAATTAGTTAATTTTTTTCTTGAGTTTATGGAAAATCTTCTGTACACTTCACGGACGTGCAATTAGTCACATAGGCGCATGTGTGCTTGTGTGTGTTTTGTAGCATATATTATGCAAAATATAAAATATCAAGTTCTGCGCGTCGAACGCTCTTTAAAGTATAAGTGTGTAAAACCTGCATGCGAATGATCGATTAATGTGAACAATCGATTTCTCTTGTTAACAAAAAAAAAAAAAATAGTTTCAATGCCAGCTTTTCAATTGCGTCAACAATTTGACGTTTCGATTTAAAATTCATTGTCAGCTGGGGGATTTTTGGCTTTAAATAGTTAAAAAAAAATATTATTAATAGGTCGCACAATAAGCATGCTATTTAGCTATAATTACAAAACGAAACATGAGAAGTTTTACGGTTCGCATTCAATTAATTTGTTGTTGTGAGGAAGAGAGCAAAATGAGTTAAGACTGCAATTTACAAATATGTGTACTAGAAATACGAAAGCTTTGTACAGGCAAACGTGTCAACGAGCAAATGAAGTGATCGCCTTTAATTGTTGTTGGTATTGTTATTTGTTTTTCAATTAAAAATAAAAAGTGTTGCCTTGAATTATTTACAACCAATTAAGCGTAGCTATTAACAAAAAGCTCAACTAAAATACTTCAAATATTAACAAAGCGGGTATTATAAAGAAAATAATATTTGGGCATATTTTGTACACTCTAACTACAGCCAAAGCATTTACCAAGTAAGTTAAAGTATATTTAGAGATCGTACTTACCTCATCCTCGCGCTTACGCAAATCGCTTTGTACCTCTTCGAGCTCCTCTTGGGCATCGGTAGGTTTCATTTTGTAGGCATCGTACAACATTTTTAAACCAAATAATAAAAATAATGCAGTTGATATATAATACGTGTAAATCTGTCGAAAGATAAGCAACCACATTTGAATAGATATTTATCACATTACATAAGCTGCAGTTTATACCTTAGGAATAAAGTTTGCTGCCAAGCCAAATACGCATGAGAGAACCGTCATAAGGGCCAAGGCGGCAATGGCACCGCCAAAGACTATCAAACGCGGGTGGCGCATTGCCATTATGGCAGCAATAAAGAAAGTCTTATCGCCTAACTCTGTTAATAATATAACAGAGATCGATGCTGTAAAAGCATCGATAAAAGTGCCCTTTTTCTTAGTATCCCGTGTCGGTTCAACTTGTTTCTCTTGTATTCCATCCGATTCCGTTGGCAATTTCACTATCGACTGTTGTTCCACATTCTGCAAAATAATAAAAGTGAATTGATTACAATTTGCTTAACAAATTTTAGTTCAAGTTCACTCACCTGCTGTATATCGGCTATAATTGCAGCATTCTCATCCCCATCTGGATTCGATTCGGCTGCACATATGGTGGAGAACGTGAGCACCACCATTAACGCCATTGCCATATGCCATTTGGCCGAGCGCTTTAGGTATACATTATGTCTGGTCGTTTGCCAGAAATATGATTGGTTTTGTGACATCTTTGTGTGTTTGTAATTTTATTCTCCCTGCTGCTGCTAGTCTCGCATGCGAATATGTTATCCGTGTCTAGTTGCTGTAGGTATACTTGTCCGCTTCGTCCGGCTTACTGAAAAGAAATGAGTTGGCTATAGTTAAAGCGTTCTTCACTCAGAATGTGCACAAAATCAGCCAAATAGCTAATCAGGCAACAAGTGTTCTCGCCGCAATGACTATTTGTATATGGCAAACACAACGATATCAAGTCCAAGTCTGCGTTGAACAAGTAAATCTGGCGGAGCAAACCACCAAATCAGCCCCTCACCAAGTGTAATGTCTAGATAAGCGAATACACTGCGTCAAGTGCCGGCCTATTGTGCTGATATGGTCAGCCCAAGGCAGATCATAACATCAGCACAGAAATAAACATTTGGGTAATTCAACATTTACAAAATTTAGGTGTATATATTTACCAATACACCAATATAATGCCGTATATATATATTGCATGAATATGTATTGCCACTGGTCGGTTCTACGTCAGCGGCACCAACCGAAACTATTGATTAGATAAAAATATGTGCCAGAAATTGGCAAATGTTTGCCAACGCGAAACTTAGTTACTCTTGGAAAAGTATGCTGTTATTTCGGTGACCCTGTTAACGATAATGTAACATCTCGCTCACATGTTAAAGTGACAATTTAATTTGAATATTGAGTACAATTTTTTTTTAATTTTTAAATAGATTTATAAAAGAGCGCCATTAACAGAGACCTAACATAGTTATGTTACAAATCACGCCATCTGTTATTCTTTAACATGCTTCTGTTAACTGTGAGTTTTAATAATCAAGTGTTACATTAGCAAGATTTGCAAATGGCTTTGTATATATGTATGTATATTCAAGATTCCAGGTTTTTGTGCAAACTCCTTGACCAAGTTATAATACCCTGCTGACGTAAGGGCATACGAAGCCACTTAGAAACCATACGTGACCAATTGCTGACATACAAAATATCTCTTATATTCGTATAGCACAGATTTATACGTACAAACATGTCTCTAGGCTATATTTAGCAGTCAATGTTAATGAACACGTGTTCGAACTGTACTCCTTTGATCAGTCACAAGCTTAAACGCTTTTGATATGATATTTAATTTGCTTAAAGTTGGAAGATAGGTTTAACGCATTTGCATAGTTGTATACACAAATACAACTTGATTTATATTAATTTATGTTTAATGCGAGTGCACAATTGCGTTTTAAATTTTAAAACTTGTATTATTATCCTGTTTATAAGCAAATCAAGAACTGTGCAAACACAGTAGATGCTCACATAGAAGCTCGTTTCGGTTACAGAGATGATTTTGTTTTGTAAAAAATTAATACTTTTGGAAATTTAACCAATGTTATTAAATTGATGCCACGTTTTAAATGATTGATGTCAATAAGACCATTTGATGAGGATTTGTGAAAATTGTATTTTCAAAGTTCTTGATAAGAAAATAGCAAAATTTTTTTTTTGTATAATGAACAACGTGGTTTGGATCCCGTGGTTGCCATTCGAACTTAGTTTCATCTTGCCAGAAGGCCACAGTAGCCAGTGCTATATTATCTTGTTTATATATTTTGTTTTTGCTTTCTCAAAAAAGAACCCTACTATGGGCTAATTCCATTTCTGCTTAATCATATTAATATATTTATGTATTTTTTTATGGTGTACTTTTCTCTATGTGCTTCCCATTTGTTTCAAATAAATCATCTCTGTCGGGTTTTTGCTACAGTCATCTCATACTTTTTATCTCTTTTATTTGCAGTTCCAGTTTATAAATATTTGTATAATAAATAAGAGATTAATTGGGCACACTCAACAAGCTTAGCAAAAGACGCAATTATAAATTTTTCGGTTGAATAAAAATGTTTAGCGGTAAATGTGAGTGTGTGTAACTACGTAAACAGGCTCGTTACGTAGGACACATGGATGACAGCTACAACTGACTTTGTTGTTGCTGTTTATGACGTTTCGGCAAACGTAAATGCAAAACGTAGCGAAATGATCAGCAAAACGATGCAGCGACGTAAGTAAACAAACAACGCCAACGACATCGTTAACAATATTTAATTAATTTTAAATGGAATACTCGAATTACAATACGTACACATATATGGACAGAGACAAGAGCTCATATTACTTATATAATTCTATTGCAAAAAAAAAAGTGACAGGGCAACAACAACAAATGAAAGGCAAGTGAGCCGACAAATCAATTGACCGTTTCGCAGTCGCCAATACCCTGTAAACGCATAAGGGGGCTGCATATATAGCATATATTATTGAATCTGTATTTAATTCACATCTATAGACATAGATATTAACCCAAATAGCTGGCTTTTGTGCAGAGTATTTTACAACTACGCACACTCGTTTATGCAATTTTTTTTAATGGGTATTAATTGCAGCATTAACATCACAAATAGCTTTAAGAAATTATTTTAATTTTCTTGTAAATATTGTTACTTGCTGGCATTGATTTTCATTCGTTTCCTAATATGCATACAAAAGTATATATATATACATATATACGATACAAATACAAGCACCCATTTTTTTGCTGGTAGTCTATTTTATGCGCACAAATAACGGCATTAATTGTGCTGTGTTGTTGGCCATTTATCAGCCAATTATAGCTGTTTGCGTGGCATCCGACTTCGGATATGCGTGTTAATCTACACCGCATATTGTGTAAACTTTCTAAGGATTTAACTTTGTATTGTAACACATATATGCACTTTGTTTATATTTTGTAATTAACATTATGATTTGGCTGTTTTAACAGTTCTAACTTTTTTCGCACACTTGTGGCATCACTAACACTGCGGCGCTGACGATAGCAAAATTTGCGAGGTTGTTTTACTAGATAATTATGCAAGTTTTGAGCGAACACATTTTTCGAACCATAAGAACGCATGCTGCTTTTAATGCACATCTTATTTATATTTAAGTATAATTAAATGAATATGATTTTAAGCCAATCAATATGAAACACTTCCTTACATCGCCAGAACTCTTTTTATTAGTGATGTTAGTAAGTCGATAGTACCGATGTATCGGTATATTGTAACTTCTTGACTTGCTTAATGTACGCTACGTTCTCACGTAACGCAAAACTTATCGACGTAAACGCAAAGAGAAAGAAAATGCGCGCGCATTTCAAAAAAGAGGAAGGATTTATAAAAACGAAGACTGATTTCCACAGATCCTTTCTGTTAAGAATAAGCTGCATGACTTTTAATATTCGAGCTAATAAATAAGAATAAGAATAAGATATTGTTTGCGTAGTGCGTCACTATTAAGCAATACATTTAATCGCCAGAGCAAGCCGCATAACTTTATCTTATCTTAAGTCTCCCGTATTTTCATGTTAAATTTAAGTGTGCGTGTTCGCTACTGGTAGATAAATTATCATTGGCCTACAAGCAAAAGAAATTTGATAAAAATATTGTGTGTCGATTTTTAAACATTGACATGGAAAGCAAACCATATAGTTTATTTAAAAAAATTAACATAAAGTAATAATCGTAAATAACAATTAAATGGAAATATGCGTAAGCTATAATTGTTTGATTTAAGGCTTTTGGAATATACGTTTAGATAAAAAGCGATTTTTCTGTACTGATCAACATGGAATATTAAATGCGGCTAGTCAATAAGTGTGCCAAATGGATTGGGCACTAATGTGGGTTGCTTCTATTCCTGAATGTCATTGTCCTCCCACTTTGACATCGCCCTCATCCGTAGCGGCTGCTTTCGTCGTATCATTCTCTCTGGCGCATTTGCGTATAATACTATTGAAGTACTTGTGCAGACCATATCCGAACAGGCGCACTGGTCCAATGACTAAAGCATGCATCAGATTTGTGAAGAAGCCATCCCAAGGCATCAATGCGCCGCCCAGCATTGTGAGCAGCCAACTTTCAGCGCCCACCGTGGAGATAAAGTTTCCTTGCTGTAAGAAACCCAATTATTATTATGGAAATTGTAATAACAGCCATAGCTTACCAGCGCATCCTTGAGTATGACCTTGGCCATAACTTCAGGCTCGATTAGACCACCGCCGCCAGAAATGATTTTAGTTTCACGCGGCTTGGATTTCTCCTCCTGCTCAAAGCCCGGCGTATTTGTATCGCAGGGCAAAGCCAATGTGACCGAAACACCATGCACACGGGACTCCATCGCAATTGTCTCAGCCATGGCGCGCAGCGCATACTTGCTGGCGGAATAGGGCCCATAGCCATATATGCCAAACAAAGCCGCTTGGGAGGAGGTTAGCACAATGATGCCTTCGCGAGCCTTCTTCATTTTGGGCAGAACATAACGTGTGCAATTGTAACTGCCAAAGAAGTTGATATTCATCAGTTTGTGTACATCCGCAACGGCCACCTCTTCAAACAGGCCGCAAATGGCAAGGCCCGCACAATTGATCAGCGCATAGATATTGCCCGCGCTCTCCTCTAGTTCGCCAAGCACGTCTGCCACCTGCTCATAGTCGCCGGCAATGTCCAGGCTGCGATATTGAAATTTCTGCTCTGGTCGCTGGCGAATGACTTCCATTAGTGCCACGGCGCCACCTGTGACGTGCAACATGTGGATACAGATATATATAGAGAGAGTGAGAGTTGTTCGGTAGTGAAATTTGGTAGCTTGAATTTCTGGTTTTCCACTTACTCAACATTTTCTCGTCGCGGGCAATGACTGTGACATTGGCTCCTTTCATGGCACATTCTACGGCCAGGCAGAGTCCGATGCCCTTGGAGCCGCCGGTAATTACCACGTGACGGCCTACAATGCTCTTTGGTCGCTTGCCCATGACAAATATGAATATTAGAATGTGTGTTAAAATTGCAATGGCCAGGCAAAAAACAACTTCCCAGGTCAGCTCCATAGTTTGTTGTGCCGCTGATATGAAGTTGACCGATATATGTTGGTAAAATATCGATAGTTACTGCAACACGATAGTCAGCTGGCAGTGTGGCGTTTGCTGCAAGTAGGCGCGAACGGTGCGGCGTTGCCAGACAGTTTAAAGTATTTATTAATAAATTTGCATTTAATGCGCTAATAAACCTGTAAAACATTTGCACATAATACCTTATAAGCGCTGTTATGCATGTTAATATAAATTTATTAGTTATATGTGCAGTCTACGCCTCTGCCTATTTAACATATGTTTGTTTATAAAGTGGTATGCAATTTTCCAGTGAGCGCCACAACAGCTGCCCAAAAGACGCTGCCCCCGGTAGCGCTGCAAAACTTCCAAGCGCTGCGTCAACTCCAACGCCGACGCTTTGGCTTCAATTGGGTGGCTTCGCGGCGTTTTTCAACCACTTTTCGTACACAGACGACGACAGTTAGCAGCACACTTTCAGCTCAGTCGTGTACGTAACGTCGTCGAGTTGCAAACGCTAGCGGTAAAGCAAACAATTATATTTGGCCCAATAGCAGCAGCAGCAGCGGCAGCAACGTTGCACTGAAAGCAAAAAAAAATTGAAATGTGTGTTCAGTGTTAAGTAAATTTGTAGTGCAAACTGAAGTAACGGCAAATGTTGCGCTTCACTGAACGCTAATAGCAAATTAGTGCAGCAAAAACAAAAAAAAAGCAAGAAAACTAAACCAAAAGCGGCAAAGAGTATTGCATACCACACGGCTGTCATGAAAAATAGATATCGATTTGCTGACTGACGGCATGTGGTGGGGGGCATTTAAAGCTATTTCTGTGTGTGTAATAAAAACTTAATATCAAATTTCCAAAGTTACCGGAAAAGCTGCACAGACATTCACCCACTAACATTGTGAATTAAGCATTAATTGGCTCAATTGTGTGACAGTTTCTGTAAGTGTGTGTGTTTGTGTGCGTGCTTAGGCGTATGCGGCGTTGTGTGTATGTGTGTGTATGAGATCATCATTATACGGCACTAGCCGTCGCCTGCTGGTATGCAATACTTCTTCTTTTAACGCACGCTAGCTTCCACTTATCCTTCTTCCTCTCGCTTCCACAGCTGCGGGCTCTATTGAAAGAGAAAAAAAGGAAATACATTTTGAAACTCGCTTGGTCTATGACAAAACAAACGCATTTTCTTCGCAACGCATTCTAAGGTGCGTGTGCGTATTGAGAGTGTGAGCGAGAGCGATAGAGAGAGAGCGGCACGTGTGTCTTTTTGTGTATGTGTTAGTTGCAGTTGTTGCGCCTTCACGACAACGCGAACAATTTAAGCAATTAAAAATATTAAAAAAATCTGTAAACGCGCGCGTGTTTATTTAATTTGTATTTTGATCATTGGGCTCGACAACCATAAAAGCATTTCCCTATGATTGGCTCATTCTGGAATCTGTGCAGAGCGTGCCCATCAATGCCGGTTGACAAGGTACATTAATATCACACTGAATATATCTTAGGTATCAATAATAGTTATCACATAATCACATTTTTTAATTTCATTTTACTTTAATGTGTATATATTAATTTGAGAGATGTTCAAGATTAAGTTAATTTTACAAGATTAATCTATTACATACATAATAGCCTCCTTCCATATTTCGATCAGGTTTTTTTTTTTAAGTCTTGTATTCAGTCCGGTCCATAGATATTCCTTAGGGTATATTCAATAAATCGTCAGGAAACGGTATGCGCTTCAAAAAATTGAAAATTAACTTAACTTTTTCTATTTTTCCAAGCTATGCAATAACCAGCTAATAGCTGGTCATAATTTGCAGTTTCTTAACCCACTTGCATCTATTTATTTGTTTTATTGGATCTCAGAAAAAATCGTTTGATTTATGGGCGACATAATTTTATTGCGTACTCCCGGCCAAGACAAGTCAAGCGGGCACGGAAGGGTGCAGACAAAATGGGGGTGACTAAATTTATGACTTTACTCGAGAGGGTGTTGCACTGCTGGGGGATTATATCGTGGGATTATGGGCAAAAAATGTTTGATTTAATGAAATTGCAGTCAACAAATTGCGAGAGAAATAAATAAAATCAATTATATGGTAATCCTTTTTCATTAATGTGCATTACTGTCGCTTGAAGGTATTAAATATGGAGCTTATAATAATATCACACAAAAACTTCATAATTTATCATTATTTAATTCACCAATTTATTATGAATGAATTTCATTTAATCTTTGAGAGCACGTTAAATTGTTTGATCTACAACAAAAAATATTTTTGTAAATTTTCGAAAATCCATTTCCACGGGCGGAAAATGGGTGGAAGTTTGAAAAAGTTTTAGAAAAGCACAGAATTCAGCCGGCTGATATCACGGAATTATTTTTCAAAGCTTAAGATACCGTAAATGTCAACGCACATCGACATAAATTTCAATTTATGTGCACCATACAGAATTTTACCAGCCACAATCCTTGAGAGTGTCATAAAAATTGGTTAACTATATAAACATGCAATGCTTCTACAGCGCACAGCCAAGAAGTAGTCGACAATATGAAAAAAGCAAATCTGTTGGCACAGAATAAATTTATGTACATTACGCTCGACACCAGACGCGTCAGCAATGGGACAGACATAGCCAAAAAAAAAAAAAAAATCAATAGCCATATGGTGTAGTCTATGTGGCCTAAAGGAACTTACCACGGACTCCGTTAGCCGTTAGCGGGGCCGGCCGGGCAAAGCGAACCGGCGCGCCGCGACAACGACAGGCAACGAATACAATCTAAGCACGAAACAAGAAAAATAACCTCGCCTGGCTTTCCAGTCATGGTATTGCCAGGGTAGGTGTGGTGCGGGGTGGGGTACTTTGCAGAACAGCTGATTCATCAAATTGCGAGTCGTGAAAAGTATGCAATGTTTTTTTTTTGCTGACGCTTCCTGTTACAGCTGTTGGAAAAGAAAAAGAGAGAGAGAGAGAGAGAGCGCGCGCGCATTTGCAGAGAGCGGCGAGAGAGCCTGCTGCACAAGCAAGTTAGTGAGATAGGGAGCGTAAGAGAGTGCGACTGCCGGCTTTTAATATCTTGAGTTGTTGTTGTTTCTGTTGGCCATATGACGTGCAAAGGCAGATTGTCTTGCGGTATTACATCAGCGCAGGGCAGTCAAAACTTTTATTCTGCCACCTTCCACCTTCACCGTCACTTTAACAGCAACAACAACAACGAATACAACAACGACATCTAGCATTGCTTTCGCTGGGGCGCCAGTGCGGCGTACTCCCTTACAAAGGCCTGACTACTGGCTGGTCTTATCGATTCGCTCGCCGTACACATGCTACTATGGCACTTAGTCACACTCGCTAAGCTAGTCAGCTGGCGACGCCCAGTACAAATGCATTGCTATTGTAGTGCTTATCTAATGTAAGGCGCACACACACACACTCTAATACCCACACGCGCACACTTGTTGTTACTGTTGCCTACACGTGTCCTTTGTCCTGCTGTGTGCTGTGTACTCTATCAGCCCACATCATCAATATGCAGCTTGTGGCCAGTAGACTGACCATTGTTCCATGTTGACCGCAGTATTTATGGCCGACTCGTTAACTTAGCTGCACTCTTTTGGGTCATTTATGCCACATATGTTGCCGTTTAGAAATAAATATACTCATTGGTATACCAAATTCGTCCCAGTTGCTACAACCAGGTGGCATGCTAAGCTGCCAGTTTGCTTAGGTTGCTTAGCTTAGCTGAGTGTTGAGGTAAAGATTAATGCAAATTTAAAGATTAAAAGCATGTCTTGATTTTCTATTCGTAAATTCAAATTAAGTACAGTATACCAGTGTTTCAAGAAACCATACAGCGAGGAATCAGGCTTGAAATTCTTTTCGACATAAGTTTTGTTATTATAAAGAATTCAAAGAAACAATATAACCAATTTCTGTACTAAGCTGCCCAAGCGTGAGCATTGTAACTGACCTAAATAATTTTTACTTAGTTCTCTTTCTTTATGTTCTTGGTTTTCACACTTCAGTGGACAGTTCCAAAAAGCGTTTTCGCACATTAACTGAAATCATTGCATTTCGATTGGCCATTCAATTCACATTTCCATTGTGCATTCAAATTGCGGCAATCAAGTAGTTTGCACTCTCATTTACCACTGCAATTTGCACTCACCTCACTGCCCTGCAGCTCGCTAATCTTCACCGAACTGGTGGCAAACCCCTAAAGGGAAGCCCATGCCGAATGCCCCAGAGCCACAGCTTCGGCCACAGACTAACGAATAGGGGAACATAGAAGTTCACTCGAATGTGGCCAATCTCCATGGAGCAGAGCACAGCACAGCGTCGAGTGCATTGCGAAACTTTTCTAATTATATGTGGTCAGCTGTTCGTAATTGTTTCTTTTCTTCAGTCTAAGGGTACTCAACCAGACGATACTCTTGTAAAGTAAGAACGCAAGTGGTATCAGAATTTGAGTATTATAAGTGATGTGATTTTCTGAGCTTTGCTCGAATTCTGTTAAAAACTTGAAAAGTTGTTTGTGGCAGGAGTCTTACGTCCAGTAAAATCGAATGCTCAAGGAAAGTTTTCCCTTGTTGGTGACTTTTCGACGAAAACCGCAAGACAGCAGCTTTGCTTAAGTTTAAACCAGTTAACAATTATGAGCACAAACTCTCAAAATTTTTTTTGATAGTGGCATATTTAATACGTTTTTATAGCCTGGAATTCTTCTACTTCCTTGTTGCAAATACTTTCATTAATTGATAACTAAATGCAGCCCACAATTTAAAGATAAATTACTCTTTTATAATTTAATTTTGGTGTCTACGATTTGTTGACTGACAGTCATTTTTTTATTGGAAGGTAAATTTAATTTCTGAATATATATGCGCAGACAGGTACAAACTTGTACCAGCTGAAAACAATAAAAAACAAGGAAACAATTGTACAATTTGCATGTTTTTTGCGACTCGGTAGAATTTCAACTGTGTAAATTTTTATTTTGCTGATTGCCTTTACGTGGCCGCATGTCAACTGCCTTTAAGCTGTTGTGTATAAATTCGTATACCCTGACGTAAGGTATAACGATTTGCTCATAAAGCTAATTTATTTGATGAAAGAAAATCGATATAGACTAAAACTATCTGAAACTAGGCAACAATTTGTATTAACAAAACTGGAAACAAGTTCGTGTTACACCATATTTAATATCAAAACTTATTTATAGGGTGTTTCTGGCTGCAGCTAACACTTTTCTTATTTTGGGCACAACAGTTTTTTGTTCTGCCATTTAAATATTTGCATATTTTCCGCACAAATCAGGCAATCGCATGCAGAACGCGTATAACATTTTTACCATATAGAAAAGTTCTTAGTTTATTTTTCGTTTATTTATTTTCCTCGCGTTTAAGTGCACTTTTGCGTTGAATTTGGATATCTTTTTGCAGACTTTATGAGTCTTTAATACTTGGTTTTCTGCTCGTATTTTTCGGTTGCAATCTGTTATAAAATTGCTTATGATGTAATAAAATCAATGTTCAAGAGAGTTGAGATAGAGATTATTACTCAATAACCTTTAAAATGTATTTAAGGAAATACTATAAAAATAAATTTATAAAAATTGTATATGAAAAAGTATTAAAATGAGAAAAAAAGAGATATATATATAATAAAAATATATAAAAAAGAAGTGAGAGAAATACGGCTAACGATTGAGGAGGATTGAGAAAAAGGGAACCCAAGAAAATAAATTGATATGAAATATTTTTGAATACCAGATACTTGTATGTATATGCTATTCTGGGAAAAAGGTTTGTATATAAAAGTTTTCAATATTCTGGAGTCTAGCCTTATAGTTGCTCAGGCCATTACATGTGTGTTCCTTGACATTGAAATTTTTTAAACTAACAAGCGATTAACTAGGGACAACTGTTTAGCTTTCGGAAATAGCGATTGGCATGCTAATCAAAGCCAATTGCTTTATTGATTTTTGTGCCAGTCATTAAAACCTACACGAATTCCCAGCTAGTTTTTGTAATAACACGAAATGTCTGTCAAAAGCTTACACACGCGCACACCGGCAAAATAAACAGTAGTTCAGGTGTTTAGAACTCTGCACAGAACTTTTTCCATTAAAATGGTGAATTTCTGTTCTTTTTTCGATTTTCCGCTAATGGATATTAGCAGCAATTGCCTCTTGCTATAAAAAAACTGTACAAAACAAATTTAATTACTTTTAATTAAATTGCAATCTTTAAAAATCAGCGTAAAAGTGCCGTCAGTATCCCACATGCTCAGGAATCTCTGGCAGCTCTCCCTCTTGCATATTACGTCAAGTCAACCTGACGTGGCGCATCCGTCAACATCCTGTCTCGTCCTGGCTAGCGTATTTCAATTTCAATTTTCTGCCTCTGAACTAATGCAATTATAATAATTTCCGTACGTAAGTGAATGGATTAAAGGGCCGATGTCCTTGCCAGCTGTGTGAGCTCCAATGTGGTGCTTTTGCATTTGCCGCAGTTACCCCCGAGTTGGCTGGCGACCAACTTGCTGCCTGCTGTCACCGTTGATAGTCATTTTATGATATATTTATTTTGAGTTCAGGCAAGTCTTCAGTACCTTAAAATGGATTGTGGCAATAATTTGAGGGCTTAGAAATTTCTTGAAAGGTTTCAAATATAAGCATAATATGGTAAATCATGATAGGATAGCAAAATGTTGCAATTAAATTGCAGTTGCGAATATAACTTAAGTCCCTGTACATTTTCCAGCTCTCCCCCCAAAATTTCTCCTTTAAAAAACTTTGCACCCTAAATATTGTATAGTTCGTGGCATACTACAAATCCATTAAGACCCCATTGCAACAATTGCAACATATTTTATTTGGCGGCAGTTGCCAACAGCGGTTCGAGCATTTGCCAAGTAAAAAAATCTGCGAACATTACGTATACGCAAATAAGGTCATATATGCGAGCTACTCGCGCAAAATGCCAAGCTACCCCTGTGCCTGGCACGCCCTCAGTCCTTCTGCTCCATATGCCACTTAAATATTTTACGCTTTTGTATTGTTAAGCAAAAGTTCTTTTATTCTCGGTCGTTGCATTTCTAACGCAAGAAATATGCAAACGCTGTTGAAAAAAAAAGGTTTTATATTTTTGTACAGTGTTTAATAGGTGTGTGTTTTTGTAAATTTCTGCCAGAATAAAGTGCAAAAAGTTAAAATAGCTCGCCATGAGCCGACACTTAAGAACTCAAATCGCTGAACATTTAACATTTCAAACAAGTTTCTTTAGTCACAAAAATTAAGCTGTAAATGCGCGCTTGGAATTAATATTGTAGATTTTTCAGATAGGGCTTTGATAAAACATGGTCTATGCGTATAAGTTTTTAAATTTTATTTAAGGGACTTGTTACTTGATTTGCCGCTTCAGTTTTCAGGACAATTGGAAAGAATGCTTAAGTGTGCGTTACGTTTTTCATTTTACATTTATTTCATTATAAATTGAAAAAGATTTAATTAAATGAGATGGTAGAAGTATATCAATAATAAAAAATAAATATGTATAATTTAAATAGGAATTGTATAATAAATTAACAAAATCCTGCTATAATAATAAAATGTATTTAATTATATATGTATAAGCAATTTATAGGTCTAAATTAAATAAGAATGACCTACATTAATCAGACTCTAAGAAATCTTTGTATGTCAGAGTATAAAAATTTTGAACTCTTCCATTGTTATAATCTATGCAACCTTTATATATCAGATTAAACACTAAGCACATTTAGCATAACACTTCATATTGTTTTGACTTCTTTTGTTGTTGTAATTTGGCATTGCACTTTTGGTTAGAATTTCAAACCACTTTTGTTATTGTTGTACACAATGCAGCATTGCGATTACTTACAGCAGTTGTGTTGAGCCAGCGGCATCCACAAACGACTAGATTGCACTTAGTATATGTATAATACATATGTATAGTATGCAGTGCAGTTCGTTGCCTGGCAATGGCAATTTGATACAAAGCAAAGAAATGGAAATAGATATAAAGACTAAATAAGCGCACACAATGGGCAATTATTTGCACAAGTATAAGTAACATACATGTATATAGTTAGGCGTGTGTGTATTTGTATATACATACTTATATAACAATTTGTGTACTCATCGTTATTGTGTAGTATCTGCTGCATGGCCATTTGATGCTGCATTGTCTCAATGGCATTCAACCGGAGTTCTCAATTGCCGCCATTGAAGGATTTACTCATGGCTCAACGAGTTCAACTCGGTTTAAGTGAAGCCAGGCAAAAGTTGTTTGATTATGTAAAACGAAAAAGAAGATAAATATAATGTGTGTGTGTGTGTGTGAATGCTTGAAAAGTTAGGTAAGGTTAAGTGAGGTTAGGATGTGTATGTTAAAGGATAGGTTATGTTAAATAACGTGCGGATAAGTCATGGGCTATGTTAGGTTAGTTTAGGCTAGGTTCGTTTAAGTAATCTAAGGTAAACATAAGACTGGATGGATTGGCTGAGGTTAGTTTTATGAATAAATCCCTTTTAAAGCTACAAACTTTTTCCAAATAGCAGCTTAGACTTTATGTGACTGCATGTTTCTTTTTTCTTATTCTTTGATGCTTCTACTTCTTTATTCATTCACTCTAACGAGTTTGCGTTGTAGATTTTCTTTAGATGCTGCAATTTGAATTTCAACTTTCTTGTAGAATAAATTTCTAGAAAATCGCCGGTAAATAAATGCTTCCGATTGCGCATTTCCTGCATGGACGCAAACACCAGCCAAGAAGTGCGTAAGGGGAAACTTGATTTCCAATTTGAATACACTTTTTCACTTGTTACTTTAGCCACACCTTCTAGCTGCAAATTTTGTGACGGTGAATTTGCATGAAAACTCTAGCGCAATTTAAAGTTTTGAAGTGTTCTAAAACAGAGAGCAAAATGCAAATTTACGCAATGGCTAGAAAACGATGCGGTGTTAAGCTACACGATTCTTGTCCAGAGAACTTTTAGTATAAAATATATTTGCCACATGGGCATTCGGGCTTTAAAAATATTGTTATACATTTTTTTTTAAATAATTAAAGACTTGAATTGTTGTAGGTCTCAAATGGTACGTGTAAAAATTAGAATTACAATTTGGCCATTAATCAAATAAGTATTAGCATTAGGGCCAAGCACATGCGAAAGTATTAATGTGATTGCCTTTAGCTGACTACAAATATCGTTTGTCAAAGTAACGACACATGACAAAAATATGCGACAAAAATGTAGAAGGAAACTAAAAGAAACTTACATATTTTATTTACGATTTTTTCAATAAAACAAACTTCGCCTGGAACGTTGGCGTTTGTAAACATTATGAATTTGGCACAAAGTGCCACAAACACAGATGACTAAACACAAGACGAGGATGCTGAGAAAGAAAAAGAGGAGTTAGCTTAAATGGCGTCACCAGCAACCATCGACTCGTTCTAGTTTCTTTATTTTTAGCATGCTTACGTCAGTCACGGTTACATAAGAGCTAATTGGCGACCAACGAGGCGTATGCGTAATATTATGCTACACCTTGACGTAGCAAAGGAAAGTCAAAGCTTCAATTTTATATTTAATTCTTGTCGTCATCGGTCTAAAATTTGTGTACACAAACAAAATTTTTTTAGCAGTATCTATAAATTCTCATCGTCATCCTCAAGTAAAAGACCCGCCTGTGCCAGTTCGTGCTCCATTTTCAGTTGCCAGCTTTTGGCCATGCGCACGTCCGGCGGCTGCAATGCAGGCATCTCTACAAACTCTAGACGAGGATCACCAACCAGCACCCGAGCCAGCCAGCGAAAAGGTTTCTCAAAATTATAATTTGATTTCGCAGATATCGGAAAGTACTAGAAAAATAAAAATGAGAAATTTATTTTTAATTAGGTAACAAAAAAACATGTTCCTGGAATGTTGCAATTTTTTCGGCTTTTTTGATAAGGATATATTGAAACGCAATATCTGTTTATATGAAGAACTCTGTTTTGGAGTGACAGTTCCCATGATATGCCCAGATCTGGCTTACTTCATATATACTGTACATAAATGAATCTAGCAAGTTTCGGACCTTGAAACTTAAGGATTCGCTTGAATGTGAAAAGGGTAAATTGGAATGACAAAAAGCACAAAGGACTGCTAGACAAACTTTATCGACTTTGGCTTAGACTTTTATCATGTATTTAGTTATCAGCTTGTGGATCTCTCATTCAATGGATTGCAACAGTTACTCCGAATGATGTTCTCCCATTAATTCTACTCACCTGTATATTTTTCTTGCGATGGAAATCCAAACCCTTTGGCTTGACCTTGCAGTCCTTAATGTCAATCTTATTTCCGCACAGAACAATTGGTATGTGGCCGCAGGTACGCATCAAATCCCGATACCAGTTGGGCACATTCTTATAGGTGGTCCGAGAGGTCACATCAAAGAAGATAATGGCACATTGCGCCTGAATGTAATAGCCCTCGCGCAGCCCCCCAAATTTTTCCTGCCCGGCCGTATCCCAGACATGGAATTGTACTGGTCCGCGACTCGTGTGAAATTTCAATGGATGCACCTCCACTCCCATGGTGGCCAAATATCGCTTCTGATACTCGCCGGTCATGTGACGTTTGACAAATGTTGTCTTTCCCGTGCCTCCATCGCCAACCAGCACCAGCTTAAAAGATGGTATTGCATCACCACAATCATAAGCCATGTCTTAAAATCTCAATTCCAATCGGAACCGCGAATTTAACGAATGTAAAAAATGGTAAAAACTTGCGAATTTTAAAAATGTATAAAAAGAATGCTTTTAACTGTTAGAAAAGTCATTTATATTTATATTGCTCCCACTGACGCCTATGTAAAATGTAAGCTGATTAATAAAAATGTTATTTGTTAATTTTTTTTATTTGGGATAAAATTCTTTTATTTATAATTCATATGCTGTTACTGTAGTTTAGCAACTTTTATCAGTGTGAGGATTCATAGAAAAACTAGCTTTGGTTAAAGGTAGCTTAATTTAAATATACTCATTGTGTAGGATGCTTATGTACATGCTTATGTTGCTTCTTTTGGCCAGGTCTATAGGATAGGTATTCTTGAGCCTCCTTCTTAGTCGCCTCCTTAGCAGGTTCCTTGTCAGGACGTTTGGGTGGTGATTAATAAAAATCAAATGCAAAATGTTAATTGTTGAACCAGGCTTATCTTATAGATAGCTAAGATCAAAGTCTATAGGAAATATCATTATAAGATATAAAAACAAGAGTTTCTAGTCGGGAGCTTCCGACTAGGGGATACCCTGAACCCTCTTCCTTCAACATCAAATGCATATATATATTTTATTTTAGAAGCTATATGTCAAGTTTGGTGACTCTAGCTCTTATTATTTACCAAAATTGCCAAAAAAAAAACAGGATATCGATATCGATTTTTATCGATTGCTTTGAAACGGAGTAAGTTATCGATTATCGGAAATAAACTCGAGCTGCGCGGAAACTAGGAGCACCTACATCTAAAATTTCAAGTCTCTAGCTCTTATAGGTTCTGAGATCCTTGCGTTCATACATACGGACGGACGGACAGACAGACAGACAGACATGGCTAGATCGACTCGTCTATTGATGCTGATCAAGAATATATATACTTTATGTGGTCGGAGATGCTTCTTTCTGCCTGTTACATACATTTGGATTTCGCACAAATACAATATACCCTTATACCCTTTTTTAATGGGTTCAGGGTATAATAATTCAAACAAATAAGCGTGAAAGCTTTAACAATCAAATAGTTGTTGGCTTAATTAACATTTTTGAATGAATTTGAATTTCCTGTCTTTGGATAGTTTAATTATATTATTCAACTACAAGTTACTTAAGACACCCTAAGCACGGCGCGTGCCATCGATCGCATTGTTATCAAAGTCGTTATGCACATGAGTGCGCCAAGCGCAGCACACAAAGTCTCACTCATTCACACATACACACTCACTCATGCTCATTCACACTCATTTACACTCAATGGGCGTGACACACACACGCACACAGTAAATGCACTCGTGCGGCAAATAGATGAAAATAAAACGCATTGACAGCACTCGGCGCAAAATGCTTGTGAAGGCCAGAGCATAAGAGCATCGAATTTCATGTTAATTGTTAAGATTTTGAACAACATTTAAGCACTCGTATATTGCAGCAACAAATATGTTTACTAACATTCACGCGCAGATACATTCAGATTAATGAAGCCGCTGGCAATGACACTGACAGCCGCACATCTAAAGTTTCTCCGGGGTAGCCGGAGCGGTCACTGACAGGAAAGTGCAATTAAATGCAGCTGTTTGTTGTGGCTGTTGTTGCAGCATAATTTGAGTTTCATTTTACGTTAAAATATGCACAAAGAATGTTCCATGGCTTGCATAGTGTGTCTCTATGCAAAACTTTTCTGGTATTTTACACCGGAAGTGTTGCATTTTCTGTGGGTGTGCAAAAGTTTACCCGAAGTCTTCTGTTTGCCATGATGTCTAAAATAGTCGATTTAAAACTTTGCCCATGTACAAATTTAATATTTTAAGTGGATTTTAATTTGCAAATTATTTGTTTAAGTGTTACAATTAAGTTAAAAGGCAATGTGTGAGCAACAAAAGACTTGTTAGTTAGCAAATTGTTTTAATTTTGTAATATAAAAGCTCAAATGTGCAATAGTTTATCACGATTAGTGTTTTATATTTAATATGTTAAACTGTTTTTGCATATAATGTGTTTTATAGAGAATTAATCACATAAATAATTCTTAAATTTATTTTGGCCTGTATTTAATATTAATTTATTAAACCTCGCTGGACAATAATAAATTAAACTTAGCTATGCATATTATACATTTTGTGTAAACATGTTTTGTTTTACCATTAGCCAAATGTATTGAAAATAACTTCAAGTAAAATGTATACATATCGCACACACAGTGCATCGAACTCTCGAATTTACATGCACCAATTGCTGAATACTCGCAAAACATGTGTAAAACTGGGGAATACAAACTCCACCAACAAGTGAAATGTTGTGAACAGCAAAGGAAAATTATTTGCGTACATTTGGAATATTCAATCTTTGGCGAGGAAAACCTGCCCCACCCGGCACTGAATTCACTTTGCATGCGAAAAGTCTGGAGTGTTGTGGCTGGGTGTTAAGACAAAACGTGCTGGGAGCATTGGACACAGGGAAGTACTCACGTTTGTATTTAGAAGTATTTGTGCCATTGTTGTTGGACGTGAATGAACTCGGTAAATGCAAAGGATATTATGCATACGCCATGTTGCCCGCAGCTGTAGACTTTGTGCTGTGCCATTGGGTCTTTTCAATAAATCAGCCGTCAACGGCAATGTCAACGCAAAGCCATCAAATCAAAGCCAAGCAAAGCCGAAAGCCAAAAAGGATACAAATTGAATAGCGCAGGACACTGGATGATTCCGGAGTCAGGGAGTTGAGCTTATGTGCAATAAAAGCGTCTTAAAAGTTTAATGTCCCTCGCTTTGCGGTCACATACAAATGAGTTTCGACGTCATGGCTGGCACTGTGTGTTGTGTGTCTGTCTGTCATGTGTGCGTATGTGACATTCTTCTATATGCTGAAAGTTGCGCAATTTAACCTGTCAACAACTTTTTCATTTCTGTATTCAAAGACTTTTCTCCAGGCGAATACAATAATCAGCTGTCTGTTTGCTAAATTCCACTTTTAAAAGTTTTGTATCGAACTTACATGTACGCGGAAAAATAAAATAAAATATCTGTCTAAATTATAGTATAGTTTAAAGGCAGTTTAGTCTAGCTTGAAATACTTCTGTTAATTTAGTTAGTTACCACAAGTAAATGTCACATAATGTCGCTTAGTTTTTCAGTGGCTTATTATGTAAATACCACAACAATTGCAACTTAATTGCAACTAATTTAATATTCTCTGAAATGAAATCGTAGCTGCTGCACGTTTTTCGCATTTTGCAATATAATCCATATTTATGGGCACGGACAATATGGGCTTATTATAGTGGAAAACAAAATTGAACGACGGCCTAGAAGAGCGTTTACTCTTCCATGCTGATAATTTGTCAAATATATTATTAGAGCGCCGAAAAAATTTTAGTATTGGAAATAGGGATTCATGAAAAATTACAAAACTGAATAAAAATTTCAAAAGTAGGCAACAACAAATAGTATACAGTAAATATTTAAATTAATAATGGTCTTAAGAAAAATTGAACGTATTAAAGTTTATTATTTTCTAGCTATTAGTATTATTAAGGGTATTATAATAGTTGTTTTTATTATTATGGTTATAACTTTTATTATTATTTGTATCAGCATCAGTATTATTATTATTATAATTTTTACTTTCATTATTATTTTTAGTATTATTATTGTTATTTTTAATATTACTATTACTTTTATTATTATCATTATTACTGTACGTTTTTCAAAGACAATACTTCTCCATAAACTAGGCTGTGATTTCACAAGTTATGATCTTCAATATTGCTAGAGTATCATAACAGTTGTACCCCACAGTAATGTGCCCATGCAAATGAGCAGCATTATTTAATTAAATGAAGTTGGCTCCACTGACCGGGCACGTCGCGTCCTGGTTACCAAGCGGCTAATGTGCATTTGTGCTGCTGAGGGTCCGCCGGTAGCCTCATTAAGGGACGACCACGACAACAGCTTGGCAATTTATTAGATTGGTCTTAGAGGTGCAAGGGGTCGACTGCCTTGTTGCCCCTGCCTAGTTACAAGTCAATCTGCGCCAGAGTCAAGCTGAAGGCGACGCTCGTTGCTGTCATCTTAAAACAGGGCACTTAAATTTAGGCAAACGAATGACACTAGAAAAAAAAAATAGCGTTCCGACACGTCTGGGGCCATGTCGAGTAAATTAATTGCTGGTGCAGGCTATGAACACACACGGCACATACACCATGGACACACACATATACAGAGTCTGATTGTATTGCGCGGTTAGTTGAGCAATCGAGCAAACTAAACCGCAGTAGCGGGCCGGAGGCACGCATTGGCAGACAGAACGGTAGCCCCAGTGTGTGGGAAGGGATTAGAGGGGAAGCGCACGCCAGATGTTTGTGTTTGGTTTGGTTTTTGGTCGGTGCCAGTGGAAACCATAAAAGCAACTATCCTCTGTCACCTGCCGTGACGCCATCTGCGCCAGACAAAATGGTGTCAAATGACAAAATGCATAAAATAAAAAAAAAATGGAAATGGAAAAACTTGCACACGTGGGCTGCATGATTAGTTTTGGGGCTCAAATATATACAATAAATACTAGTTAGTATTAGATTTTATATAAATTTGTAATATATTATGATAAATTTGAATTATTAACCATAATATTTTATTTTAACTACTATTTAAAAACATAAATTACATATTTTAATTTTTCTTATAATGAATCTATATTTGCATTATAAATTTCATTATATTTTAAATATTGTTTGCATTATTTAATATATTTTTATTTTCAAAAAATATTTATATACAGCATTTAATCTGTATTATGATTTCTAATCAGTTCAGTTTTTAACTCGCATATAGAGTACTATTTTTATTTATATAATTAGAAGCTCTTTGCTAATTCGTTTTTTTCGTTTAATGTTTATTATTGTACATACTTAGGTTTTTCATTTTAATCACAGATTACCAGTACCCTCGTATTAGAGTCTTATGATAACTCACAAACTTATTGTGCGAACCAAGACAAAGCGAAGAAACCCCATTGGACAATGAAATTTTATGCGCTTGTTTGTGCTTCATATTCCTTGCACTTCACGAGCACACAAAAAGCAATTCGAAGGACCGCAGGCAGTCGGCCAGGCGATAGCTGCAAGTGCTGTTTGCTTCAAGGTGTCCTTTGTTCGCATAAAACTTGAAACGTCCCTGTGGATAGATTAAACACGCACACAATATTGTCTATATACACAGTTTGTATATACATACATACACATACATATCGTTAGTTTGCGGTTTTCGGTTTTAGTTATCTAACACGTGTAGCTTAGTGTTGTTATTAAGGGATTCTGGCGCACTGTAAGCTGACGCCTGCAACTATGCTATGAAAATTATTGCACCAGATTTAGCAATCGCATAGTTCTACTTACACCAATGGGCGATAAATTGTGTGGGGCATGCCTTTTTGATCGTAAATTGGTAATTTTATAGAGCCTGGCATGTAGGCACCGCATGAGTTATGGTCGTGCCAAAAGTACTGGCTATTAAATTGTTATGGTCAATAACAAATTGAAATGATTGAAATGCGTTTATTTTATACGAAGCACTAAAAAGTTGTGTACAAAAAAATAGTGTGCCAGTAAAGCATATACGTCTAGAAGTTACTTTATAAGCAGCTCAAAAAATTCGAACGCTTAAGCAATTATTGACTTAAATATGTAAGTTATCAATAAATATTTGTTCACTCACAATTCAATCAAGTATCGGAATGGAATGGAATCTTATATAAAAATAGCAAAAAGCAATATTGAGAATGCTCAATCACTGTCAGCCATAAGTCGATTGCGATTTTAAATAATTTAATTAAAATGTCAATTCGATGCGATGCACACTGCAGGTGTCTGGCTGAAGCTGCTTGTCAACAGGCTTATAGGGATTTTAATGTCATTGGGCATACAGAATGCAGTTGAGTGTTTGAACAGAAAGTTTAAAAATTGAAAGCACTTTTTTATGTAGAGTAGATCTGCTGCAAATTTAGGTTTTTAAAAACGTTATAGACGAAAAGTTCGTTGAACCACAATTAAAATACAAAACGTGCAAAACCACACGAAAGCACAAACTAAATTTTAAAAAGGCTCTCAAAAATAAAATGTTATCAAATATTTAAGTAATAATAAAGAAAACACATTTCAGACGCGGTTTGCATTTTGAAGCTGCAATCAATTTGGCACAACGCACATAAATCAGTTGGAAATTTATGGGATACCTACCGCAGTTCCCCTGTTCCTCGGGGAAAAGCGACATGATAAATGGCTGCAGCATAAAAAATATTATTTGCAATAAACAGGGGCAGGTGTTGCTGCCACGTGCCAACAGGCACTCAACCTGCCCTTAGCAGTGTATGAAAACACCCCGTTCTTGCAACTGACACTCCCAATGCAGATGAAAAACCAGCCTCGAGGGCAGCGCGCACCTTCAATTAATCGATTAAAGTGCGCTAAGCTCGGGGTTCAGCGACTAAACTATGCATGAATTGCGGTTTTACAAATACTCTTCTGGGCTGACAACCACAGCTCGCGAGCAACTCCCTTGTGATTAGTTGCTTGGGGAATTGTTTGTAAAAGTTATTTATTGTCTGGCGAATTGATTTTTAATTAACTTTTTAAATGGCATTTCAATGAGGCTATGGGGTCGAGAGCCTGTCTAGACGCCTTTTAGAGGTTTGACGGCAATTAGGTTAATTGGTGGGCGTTACGTGATGGATAAAAATGGGGCTTGATCTTGATTTAAGTTTTGGATTGACTTTTGGCTCAATGGGTGTGGCTCTACATTTAATGAGGAGTAATAGGCATGTTTAAAGGGGTTATAGGAAATGAGTACAACGAAAAAAGTATCTTTACAATTAATAAACTTTGATTTTGTTCACAGTTTTAACTTTCCATTAACCAAAGACAACAAGAAGTCAACATAAGCTATCTAAAGACTATCTAACTTCAAAATTAAATAACTATCTAGTCCTAAATCATAATCATCTTAATCTTTTTTCTCTTCTATGTATTCAAACCTATTTAAGCAAATAGTAAATTCAAAGGTGCAAAGAAAAATTGAATTAATGTTAAAGATGTCCTCCAAATTGATTGAGTGGCGTTACAGCAATCAGTTGTAACTGTTTAGTCCTGCGACCTACTTAAAAATGAAAATTAAGCAGAGAAAGGTTTGGTCAGGAGCTGCATGAATAATTCCCCGAGTTAGCCAGTCGGTTGGCATCGTCTTTAGGGTTGCGTGCTAAGTGGTAATTACTTGTACCTTGCCACAAAAATGGCACGATAAAAGACAGTCAAATAGCAATGCGCATTCCATAAGCAACTGCCAACACAGATACCAGAAAGGACTCTTGGCCAAGTTAGCACGGCAAACAAAAACAAATTGACACCGTAATTAACTCTACTAACTGTCCAGCAAGGAGACTGACTGTTTGACTCTCTGTCTGTCTGTTTGTTTGTTGTTTCGAACTTTTGTCGAGCTTAACACAATTTACAGCTACTTGCAGCGGAATATAATCGAAAATGTCCTTAGTCCTTGTTGCAGTAGCTGCGCTTCAATCGATACGAAAATTACGGACGCATTTCAGTTTTCGTCATAGCCATAAAGCTATAGACTTGACTGTACGAATTGGCCATAGCTATGGATTTTTTAGTAGCTGTTTCTTTTTCTCCACTTTCTTCCTCTTCGGGCTGGAATTATCAAATGTTTGCAGCAGCAGCTAAAGAAGGACATGTCGAACGATTACCATTGCTGCATTGCAAATGCGACAACCACATTTTGGCCATGCGCCCGAATTGCCAGCCAAACTAGCCAATAGCGCCAGCTTTGAAAAATAGATATATATCTACAGCTTTTCGCCTGGCCCTACTCTGACCCTGGTCTCAAAATATTCCCATTTGATTAAAATGTTTGGCTGAATGTGTCCTCTTTTTTTGCCATTTTCTGTTTGGCTTAATTGTTTGTGGGCGTTGCGTTTTGGCTAATTGTTTTATTTTGCATAAATCACTTTAATGGTCATGATATTTTTAAAGCTAACATGAATAATGTTGAAAGTTGTGCATTAGCGGCTATTTAGTTGCGGTTCAATTTTGCATGCATCGTTTGTCCGTTGATGAAAGTTATTAAATACTCTGGCAGCGTATATTTATGAGGGCAATTTAAGGGAAAGTCGAGTCCTTTAGCACGTCTTTATATGCTGCTTGGATAGGATTTCTTTTCGAGTACGAGTATATAAAGTTAAAATCAAAAAGTTTTTCAATTTTCGACAAATCTGTAAATCAATGCAGCGGTTGAGTATTGCCTTCAATATGATATATGATTTTTGTTCCATTTAATACCTCAATTAATTTATCAATTCATAGCACTGACTGTAACTAATGACTAACTTGTGCCTCATACTTATTGCTTGTCTCCTATCTTCTTATTTTCTAGCAGCTCCATTCGGAGTATAGGAGCACTTATCGTTGGCATGAATTTACGGGCAATTCGCGGCCAGAGGTTGTGCGTCGGGCGCCAGCGCCAAATCCAAGTCAATTTGTTGGTACGTATTCAGCAAGCCCTTATCCTTTTTGCCCAACTGTATTGTCCACTTATCTGGCATTGTCATGGCGATTTATCGATTTGAATATATTATCTCTACAAACTATTTGTCATGGTTTGTCTGTCCCACAGGTCCAACAAATGAGCCGCCATTGCCACGTCGAAAAAAATGCCCTGAATTAGCATATAAATCGCACGAGTTTATTATAGGATCCGAATATACAGATGCACGTCGAGATGCCAGTGCACACCGTGCGGCAAGGGTGAGTATTTTATAAATAACATACATATATTTATATATATATATATATATATATATATATAGATATATATATAAGAAAGTCTACCTTCACCATTGTTTTGACCTTGTGAAAAACGAGGACAAGAATTTCTGACTTTAACGAGTGCCTTACGACCGATGTTAATGCAATATTTGTTGCTTTTGGGAAATTTAACGCGAAAAAAAAATCATTTTTACATTTAGTTGTCGGAGTAAAATGTGTGTAGGCTGTGCTGGGCAAATATGATGCAATAGGTTTGCATTAGATGAGCATCTTTAAATAAAAAATCGATTTCCTACAGATTTAAAAGAAATTATAGTACCATAGACAATCTAAATTTAAATTTAAGCAGAAGGATATATACTATTGTTAATGAATTATAATATGGTTAATAAACAAGTTGCTTTGAAAAGTCTGAGGTAATGCTAAAGAGCAAATGGAAATCAATGAAAATATACAAATTTTAAAAATATCTTTAGCCCTAATAGAAAATGATTATTATTTAAATGGACTTGTTAAATGTTCAGCTGTTTGGTAATATAACATATGTGTGTGGTTTTTAATGCATACACGTTCTATTCGCATATTTAATGTCCATATATAAGCTGTAGGAAAAAAAGGAAAAAATAAAATAAATTCAAAGTGGTTATGTGCACATTTGTGGATAGTCAGAAAATTGAAAAGCCGCCACCGCAAAAATTCATGCGCTGTTGAAACATTAAGTGGGGCCTACGTGCAAAAAATAGAGAAATAAAAGTTTGACGCAAGTTGTTTTTCTCTTTTTTGCGTTAATACATAATGCGCATTTGATGAAGAGTCTATTTAAAAAAAAACTACATGTTGGCTGCCTGACTTTTTGCTTAGTTTGATATTGGGGTTAATTCGTTTATGCAGAAATACGTGAGCACATGTATGTGACCAAAAGCCATAGTGAGCGGTTTCTAATGCCACACACAAAAAACCAAATGTGGCGGGGCGGCTGTGCGGTTGGTCGCGTGGACGGCTTTTCTCTGTCAATGCTAATTAAAAATGCGCACATGTTGCACACAAGGACACTGCCTTATGTTTGTATTTGTATGTACGTGTGTGCTTTATTATACACCCTGACAATAAATAATTAATTGAGTTTTACATGGGTACGAGGCTTTGCTGCTGTTGTGCTACCTGATCATGTGCGTCAGCATGTCGTATGCGTAATATTAATGAGGTGCTAATTAACTGAAACACACACACACAAACATTTGTGTGCGTATGTCTTTCTATTTGTAGTCGGAGGAGCGCGGCACACCTTCGCGCCGCAGCAAATCGGAAGGACCACCCGTTGTGCCCAAAGGACGCCCTTATCCCATTGCAACGGAGATCGATGGAACTACTAGTAAACAGGTACACAATTGTCAGTTAGTTACCTTATGTCACTTACCTAATGTCTTAAGCATCAAAGGATGATCAATCAATATTGTATACCATATATTCGTATATCCATATATAACCCAATGTTCTCATGAACGTCTGCAGTTATGCTACCAAACATATTTCGGACTTGTTTAATGCATGTGTCGTTGAAAATAAATGCTTAGCCCCAGTGACAAAAGTTGATAATGACACTTGAAGCCCTCATATGACATGTTTTCGTGAAATTTTGAGCCCTTTTAAGACTTTACAGCAAGAGCTTTGAAAGCACTTGAAAGCTTTTATTTACCAGCTGATCGAGAACTTGTAAGCTTCATGCGATGTTAAATAATCTGAATAGGATAAACCTAAAGGCTTAAAAGCTCATGACATAATTAACTTGGGAGTTTTACATCAATATACAGCTCTCAATGAGCTTTTACGTTTTCTGTGCATTATACTTACCTTGAAAGCTGTTGAAAGCATTAAACTTTTGAGCTTAATAAGCTGAAAGTTTAACGAGCAAATGTCTTTTTAAAGCTTGCCTTAAAGTTTTAACTTCTAATAGTTCCCATACTCAAATAGCTCACAATTATATTTTTTTTAAATAAAGCGTCAATTACTTGACTCTTCAGAAAGTATCACAAAAGTAGTCTGCAGCTTTCGTCACTGGGAAACACAAAAATATCTTAAGCTTTCATATTTTATGACTTTTTGATTTACACTCTAGTATAATATGACGCCGAGTATAAATTACATTCAGAAACTATCTGTATTTACATACTGTGCTGTACCACACTTTTGCATGTGCTGTACTTTAATGTACATATGTATTTGGCTAACAACAATAAATATGTCTAAGTGCGAGTAGCTGCAATGGCAACGCCCTATCTCAATTGCGACACGTTCTCAATGTTGTCAGACTACAAAATTGCTAACCAGCATGATTTTATGCTATCTCATGGCGCCGCGCAATAGAAAAAAAAATATATAAGAAAGGAACTGTCGCCAATACCGATCTGAGATAGGGTGCGACTCATCGGACCAATGGACCAAACATTGGAAACGAGGACCCAGCGACGCGCAACAATTTCTATTAGGATTTTTTTTTTTCACTGTCGCTGTCTATCAGCTCTCCCTACTTCCTGCTGCGCCTCCACAGGCCCTCTATTATAGGCAAGCTCTTTTGTATGCTTTCGAGTGTGTGCGTGCGCATGCATGTGGCACATGTCGTTACATTTGTAACTTGTTTCTGTCTCGCCATTGCAGCTATGGGAAATTTATGTAGTAACTGTATGTGTGTGTGTTTAAAAGTGGCATTGAGTTGACTGTCAGAGCGTCAGTTAGTCACAGACATACACTCGACCTGAATGTAAATTTTTAATCTGCAAAACTCTTCAACATTTTCATAAGTTGCCTTTACCGTTGTTTATCGATTCGCCTTCCCGCAATATATCTACTTTTATAAGTATATCCTTGATACCTGCTTGCATTTTATTTGAGTATCTATCAGTTGTGTGTGTAATTTGTAGGATTTCTTTTACATATTTTCATGATTGAATATAAGATTTTATTGAATTGAACTTTAGATCTAGATTATAGACGTACAACTCTCATAACTTTTTCAACATTCGCTCGCTTATTCTTCGGATTTTTTTTTATCTTGGTTTCCATTCGAAACTTCAATATTTTCGGCCTTACATATAAAATTTGTATTTTTATGACATTCGCAAATTATTCGTTGGTCGATTTGAATGTCCTTTCAATCTGCAGTTCAAACTGGGACTAAAATGATGATAAAGTTATGAGATTAAGCTTGTAACTTAAAAATTTGTTTATTTTCAAATACGTTTTGTTATTTTAATAATAAACATTTCAACATTTTTTTTAACTTAGGTATAAACATTGACTATTTAGAATCGATTAATGTTAAATATACAAATTTACAAATTATACTTGCATTATGTGTATTTTTTTCTCTTCCTTCTCTCTCTCTCCCCCTCTCTGTCTGTGTCTCTCTCTTTCTCACTCTCTCTTTCTCTCTCCATCGATCTCCATAACTAACACGATTTCTTCTATTGTATTTTTCTCTATGTTAACTGTGCTCTGATCGTCCCCCAATCAATCATAATTTACGCATACTAACCTAAAAACTAATTAAATACTATTGCTAATAATTTATTGAATTGTAATTTAACAAAAAAAAAAAAAACTGTCAATGCGCCAATGCTATTGCTCTCTCTTTCTATCTTTGTTCTTATCTTTTTGACTCTCTCTCATTTATTTTTTTTTCTGGTCTTCTCGTCTCTTGTGATTCTGCTCTTCTCTTTCGCAGGCGGGTGAGTCAAATGGCTTATTGAAAAAGACCATCACAAAATTGAGCACTGAGTATCGCCTGCAATTCGTTTGGCCCAATGACCGACGCATTAAGGGCAACGATTCAAACGTAACGACGACGGCGAGAGCCGCGGCCGGCGATTACCCAAGAAAGTCAATATCATTGGGGGCGATCCGAACGGGTCAACAGCCGGGCCAGCCGACGCACAGTCACACACATCAATATCAAACGATAGGTGCCGGCTTGCCAACGGTGCATAAAAAACGTACAACAAATCAGAAAGAAGGTGCGACAGCAATATGTCGTCGCTAAGCATTTACATACTTATACTACAAAATACATATATATCCTATTAGCGCATAGTTTCTTTCAATATCTCGTATATGTATGTAATACTAAACATCCAAAAAAAAACCAAACGAGCGTACTAAAACAAATAATTAACATTTGATTTCAAACCATTGAGTTTCTTTACTCCGTACTAATCTTGAAAAAGCAAAAAAACAAAAAAAAAATATATATCATACTCGATTTTTTAAACTAACCTTTACTTAAAAGTAAATTGTTGGACGCGCAATTTCTGAAGAATTCAACAAATTTTAATTTCTTTATTTTAAAGAATAATAAAAGAAAAGTCCCTGCAGTGGCAGCTGCATTGATCTCAATTTAAAGAAAAAAATATTAACAAAAAAACCTATAATTTCATGCCTAATATTTTGATGCGTTGACTAGTGTTGGTAAATTACATTTAGTTCAAAAATTTATCCTCACAACACTGCCAAATAAAATAAATGCTATATATTTGCGAAATTTTGAATATAAATTAAAATAAACCGATTTTCAAGTTTTTTATGTACTCGTCGTCGTACAATTTTGCTTTTCATCCAAAAATTTCACTAGTTGTATATTACATATATAAGCTTAAGTCACCCTTGATATAAACTTTTTTAAGTACAAATATTTTATTAATTTTAGTCAACAGAAAAAAAATAAATATATATATAGGTACACAATGTTTTTTGGTTAAAATATTTTTAAAGGCATATTTTTATTTAATGCTTTTATCGATACTAATTATATGTTTTCAAGCAGTTAGCAATCTCTACTCTTTCTCTCTCTCTCTCTGGAAGTCTTAATATCTATTTTATATAGAACGAAATTTTGCTAAATTCCTTTCCAAAAGAAAAAAAAACATTCACACTCCCACACACATACACAAGAATATCTTTATAGCCAAAAAAGCTGACGTAAGTGTTGAACTAAATTCATTTTTATTAGTTCTAAATAGGATAAAAATAAAAACAACCACAAAAACTACATGGTAAAAAAAAATTACCTGACATATTCATTGCTGTTGATGGTAAGCCGTAAAATTTCATTGATCGATACTTTAATTTAATGAAAAGAATCCTAAATTGCTTTAGCGCACTATAAATACAAAATGAAAGACAAGGCTCACATGTCCTGGACAGAGCGTAATCCTGTCACCATATTATCACGTATCAATGTAATTTTACGCAAATGATTAAATACCTAAGTATAGTCGGAGCATGCGGTCGCAGGTTGTGTAATGCTGTTTTTTTTTTATTATATATATTTTTTATTATTTTTTTTTTTATTATTTTGGTATAAAGCATAGGAGTTCCGTTCCCTTTAGTTACGTTCTTGCATGCGAGAAACGACAAAATGGAATTAGTATCATGCATTATTCATCATTCATCCACATTTATCGTACATATCAAATCATAACAAATGTCTGCTAGCTTTAGGCAAATTAAAGTAAGAGGAAATCACTTATTTAAGTAATTAGGTACACTATTGGAGTTTTTTTTAGTTTTCATTCTTGGAAAAGCAAGTTAGATACCATCTAAAAATTTAAGTTGTACCAACTGAATTGAGTCTTTTATTATATTTATAAGTTTTAATTCTTTTAACGTTACATAAGTAAAGGAATCTAAAATTGTTCATGCCGAGCTGAGAATTTTGAAATTTTAAAAATATGTTGATCTTATTTAAATAATTGGAAAGAAGTATACAAATTAAAAACAAGAGAATGGAATAAATTATTAATTACCAACTTATCGAAAAAAAATAGAATAGAAATAAAAATATATTGAGATAAATTAAAATATTTTTGATATATTTATGTTCATTTCATATACATTCAAATTTAAATTCCATCAAATAACAAACAACAAATACAAAAAACCCGACACATTTAATCAATAACTCAAATTTACAGTAAAAGCCAAGTGCGTAGGTAAGACAATCCAAAAACGTAAGCCAAAATCAAACTGTATATTCATAAAAATAATCTATAAAGCTAATATTTTCATATATATATAATTTGAACTGCAAGTGCAATATGAACAAGTGGCTTCCATTGCAAAGCTTTTAAGTCTTGCCATTATACCTTGAGCTTGAGAAACTTATTTTTAGTGCAGCCTGAAAATCAATTGGCCGTAGTGCTTTGAACAAAAAAAAACGAACGAAAACAAATTCAAATAAAAAAAAATAAATAAATAAGATTTAAATATAATATATATTAACACTGTGCTGCATTGAACTCGAAATGTTTATATTTTTGTATGAATATTTAAAAAACAAATTGGTTCGAATTTCGTTCTATATTCCAAAAAGTGACCCCAAATAACCCCACAAAAGCCGAAAACATCCAACACGCTTTAAAAAATTGCAAGAAAATTGTATTAAAATATATATATATTTTTTTTATTTATTTATTTAATTGACTAAATGCTTAGCGAAAGATTGGAAAATGTTGATATTTTTTTTTGGGTTCTAATTTATTGAGAATTCAGAATTGTGCGCTAGAGTAGCCAGATCCACAACTAACCACTACTAAAACACTCACAACCAACCACCATGAACCAAGCGCCTATTTTCGGCTCATTTGATTTGCTGTACAAAGACTCACCCAATCCTCAGTTGAAAGTTTTTCTAGCGAGACACTTTTGCAAATTTATTCATTTTGTTATCCTTAAAATAAATAAGCCTTTGGTTTTTAGTTGACACTTGAAGCAAATTAATACTTTATTACTCGTATATTTATTTTTCTTATCTCTATGTAATTGATGAAAGCAACAAAAAACAATTGAGTTCCTTTTAGATGGTACAGAGTTGTTTAAATCTTTTATCTGTGTGCTTTCAGCCAAACTGCATGAGCTGGAGCCGTTGGTTAGCGATACGGATGATAGAAAAACACACGAGAAGTATGATAACAATTAAATAGCATATGTTTTTATTTAAGTTCTTTTTTTAAGTCAATTCTCAATGTCAATCTCTCATATGCTCATGAGCTTCAACCATATCAGCGTGGCCACTAATAACTATCATCTAACCACAGCAAGGCCAGCCATCATAGACCCACCCATCCATTCAAGCAAGAAATAACCCACCTGCAAAAAGTGTTGCACTTGCCACTAACATTCATCTGAATTTTATACGCTTTTTCTCTCTGTTATCATATGTACTGATTGTAAATGTGTTTTTCATACAGACAAGTGAATTTTGTTGAGCGCAAAATTATCACACGTCCGTTTTCGCAAGCAATCGATCACGAGCGTATCAATCGCAATATTACGAAAAGGGAGGACTTTGGTTTTGCTGATGGAACAGCAGCTGCCAAGGATCATTATAATCAAGGTCAGCTGGTGGTCTCGAACGGCAGCGCACCGCCGCATTCGAAACCGAATTTGGATTTGTGGTTCAAGGAGATGGTCGAGCTGCGCAAGAAGGCCGGCGAATATAAGGTGAGTACAAAATATAAGGCTCTTATGATCAATTAACGCCAACGATTGATCACTATACAGAGTCGCGGCTGGGGCGTGGAAATCGATCCGGAATTGTATAAGAAACAAAGGGATCTTTGGGATCAGGTTTCCAAGCGCAGCTCGCTATCAGCACTGTCCCTAGCATCCACTTTGCACAGGTAAAAAAAAATGTAATTCGATTAGTAACATTTTTTAACAAGCTTAAGTTTTATGCAGACCTATTACCAAGGAGGAGAAAGAGCAGGAGAATAATAAAAAATCAACGCCGTTGCAAAAAACGCCACAGCCACAAAAGCCACGAGTTCCTGGCCAAGCCTATTTGATTGATAATAAGGATGAGATATCAGCACTGCCAGCACGTTTTAGCAATATACGCCATCACTTGGAGCGCACTACTGGTCCGGGTAAGCTCAGATTAAAGTCAACTAGAGATGGGCGTGTGTCTCTACACGATGTTCTTGTCTAGAATATGTTTGGTTGTAAAGCTTGTTTTTGTATAAGTTTTTAGACGTTGTGTGTATAAAAGACTAAATGAGTAGTATTTAATAAATATTCATTGTTCAATAGTTTAGTTAAAAGTGGCACTACAAATTACATGAGTAGCCATCAGTACTAATTACCGAATAAATTTCTATCAAAATTGCATGAGTACACGAGTCTCGCGACTCGTTCTCAACCAACATTCGCCCAACTCTAGCTTTTAGCTGCAGTTCCATAATTTTATTTCTATTTGTTTAGCAGACGTTGAGGAGGGCGCTTTACTGCCTTCACCCACGCGGGAGAAACTGATGCCAGCTATGACCAAACGTGAGTCCGAGTCTCAACGTGGCAGTCCCAAGAAGACGGCCCTCTCGCGTCATGGCTCGCCGCAAAAGGGCAGCCCCCAAAAGGGCAGCCCCAAGAAGGTCCTTAAAAGTGAGTAGTTGCCAATTAAAGCTTTAAGTGTTTTATCTTCAATTATGACTGTAGCAAAAGGTCTACACGTAACATTTTAATAGAAACATATATTTCTAAGCAACAACTAATACATAGTTACACAAAGCACTTTCAAGTACTTACTAATAATGCAGGTTACAATTGTACACGCCCAACAAATAAGTATACGCCCAGTTAAACAGTGTTTGATTTATTTGATTTATTTGTTTACCTAATAGTTTGCTTAACTGCTTAAAGTACTTGTTTTGCCTTTAACTCAACGGGCTTTCCGTTGAATGTTTTACAATAAATTTTTAATCTATTCTCAAGTGCACTTAATAAACATTTTGATTATGAAATTTGTGCACAATATATTTTTTTATGTAGCTTGCTTTTAATTCAGATTTTGAGTTTTGAAAGAGTTGGTTTTTAGCGTGTTTATTTGGAAAAAAAATGTTTTTTGTGCAGGCAATCTGTACATATGTAAATATAACTTATCTATAAGAGGTCTAAGTATGGAGGCTGTTTTTGTTACTAAGGTAATTTTTTTTACACAAACTGTTACACATAAGAAAACGGAATTGAGAATTAGTCGCGTTTTCTACAGGGCATTAAATTAATTAAATTAAATGAAAGATTGCTAAATAAACTGCAAAGCTTTAGCTTACATTAAAATAAATGATGGCGTTGAATAAAAACCGAAAAACAAACTACAGATCAGAGAGTGAGAATAAATAAATTTAAGCATATTTTTAGGTATTCATCATGTATATATTAGTTGAAAATCTCATAAAATGCAATTTCAGTGTGAATTTAAATCAAATCAAATCTTGGAATAATACGCTGAATGTCTGTTGCTGCGTAATATGTGTTAAAGAAGTATAGCTAGAGGTTGTTAGAGTTATTATTAAACATATTTTGTAGTGCCCTGTACAGAACTCTCCACACACTAGTAGCCATATTTAATTCACAATCATTACTTAAGAAAACAATTTCAATGCGAAATTTAAAAAGAACAACTCATACTTTTATCATCAAACAAATCGAAACTTAAAAAAAAAACTCAAACCTAAATGACGTATCGAAACCAAAACCGACATCTCTTCATCTTCATTTTGCGTGGTTCAGCACGCTCACAATCTGTGGGTCCTGGCGTCGCCGAGAATGAGTCACCCAAGCGTCAGATACGCTCGGCGAGTCAAGCCCCGACGAGCCGTAAAAAGGTACCAACAACATCGGCCGGAACTGAACGTAAGCCACGCCCATGTAAGTAGCCAAACGTTGCGCAAAACCACCCACAAATATACAAAAAAAAAAAAAAAATACGCACACACGTCTTCATCGTGTGTTCGTTCATTTCCTTGTGTTTTATATTATTTTCGTTTTAATTTACTTAAATTAATTCCTAGTTTGCATATAAATATCATTAGTTAAAATTAGATTTGTTTAGATTTGTTCAATTAGTTTCATTTGCAGTTGATTTGACCTTTAATCTATAGTTTTAGTATTTAATCACACATCGCAAGTTTGTACGTTCATTTCAAAACATATTTCAACTGGAAATTTACATAGTTAAGTGTCTAAATACATAACAAAATAAATAGCTAAAAAATAACTCAAAAATGTATGCGTCTAAGGGACGTTCAATAATCTCTGTTAGTATAGTCTCTGGTCTTGCAGTCTATAATTCGTGTTTTATATTTTCAATATTTTTGTTTTCACTTCAAATTTTGTTTTCTGTTCTGTAATGAAGCGTTTGATTGGTCTTTCGAATAGTTTAGCATGTTGAGTGACCAAAATACTAACAACAACTAAATAATATAAATTAATACATACTTACGTCTTATAATACTACATAATAATACCGAATTGTAAGTAATACTAACAAAAGTCAGTGTTTAACAACGTCTAACATACATTAAGATGTGCGTGTTGTGATTCAAACCTTTTTGCTTTTAAATATAAAAACATTGTTTTTAAGTTATGTTTTAAGTGTGTGTGTGTGCTAATAATAAGTTGTTGTTGGCTTTCTTGTATGTGTATAATATGTTAATTTTAATATTTAAAGGAAAACTGATCTTTGGCATGTCAATACCTTTGCGAATATATAAAAACATTCAAATCTTGGTTTTATTTAAAACTCTGCCGTAAAAAGGGAAGTTTGAAATCTAAGAAAATTTACTTAAAGTAAATTATAGTATGTCCATTTTAAAAATTTTCATGATACTTCATAAGTCCGCCTCCATATGTTATAGAAATCGCATTCCACTGCAAGGGTATTATAGTGTCTTACATTCCAACAAAAACTAGAGGATGTCTATTTTGGAGGAGTTAAGAGATGGTTGTATATATTTTTGTAATTCAGCAAACGTTCAACAAAAATCGATAAGGAACGAGCAATTTTATTTATTTTAAATAAATATTTTTATAAGCAATTCATACGATTAAAAAAGAATAATTTTTCAATTTTGGGGCACATGTGTTTCCATTAATAACTAAGGTATATTTAGTTACGAAAATTGTTCTAACTGTATGTTTTGTTAACTAACATGAATATGCTGAATGCCAGTAATTTTTCAAGTAGACTAACCCACTTTGTTAACAACATAAACTAACAAAAGAGATAAAACGACGCGTTTTACAATTATTTATTTGTTTATTTTTTTCGTGCTTTAATAATTTTTGCCTTTACTTTTTTTGCATTTTTGATTCGCCGTTAATAAAAAGAAAATTAAAATATACATTTAAAACAAAAATTTATATTCAAATTTGTTTTTTCATGTGCCTTTTGTTTTGGTCTGAAAACAAACCAAAAATATGACAACAAAAATCCAAAAACCCGACGTAAAAACGAAAACCTTGAAAACAAAAACAAATGCAAAACGAAACAAACAAAAACTGCTTACGTTTTTATAGCCACCCTGTCCACAACATTCCAATCCCGCATTAAAAGTAGTTCCCTACCACCGCCTAACGGTAAAGTAGCCGCAGCGCCAACAGCATCAACCGCAGCAGCAGCAACAACAGCAGCAACAGCCGCCCGTACAGCAGCAACATCCAATGCTAATCATGCTTATCAATCACATATATCACAATGCAAGAGCTACAATAAAAGCAGCAGCAACAAGCCAACAGCAACATCTGCAAAACAACAACTACAGCAGCAACGACAACAACAACAGCAACAGCAGCATCAACAGCAACAGCAGCAATTGCGTAAGAAAGACAAAGATAGATCGAATATTAGTTGCATTAGTCAAGTTGGTGCTGGTAGCGGTAGTAGTGCAAATAGTGCGAAGCATCAACAAAACAAACAGAAACAACAACAGTTACAACAACAAGAACAGCAGCAGCAGCAGGAACAACAGCAGCAACAGTGGCACCAACCAGTACACGTTGCTGCTGCAACTGACACGACAGCGACAGCGGCAACAACAACATCGGTTCCAACAGCAACAACAGCAACAACAACGGCACCCGCCCGACCTGTCACCATCAACATCAAACGCCTAACGGTACCAGGTCAGGATAGAAAATTGGCTGAAAGTGAGTAGAGTTTGTCCGAACAACTTGAAAAAAGCAAAAAAAAAAAAACAAAAATATATCTGCAATAAAATACAATTTGATATACCCTTATAAAACAAAAACTTATCTAAAATGGAAATGCTGTAAAATGACATCTGATGCGCGAAATGTTTGTGTTGCAACTTTTGTAAACAAAAACAAAAACAAAATCATAAATTAATTACAAATAATTGCGCATCTTACACCTTGTCAAAAACTGTGTTGTACACAAACTAGTGTTCAGTAATGAAATTAGCAATTATTATTTACGAATTGGCATATTGAAATTGGGCGGCACCTACTATATAATTTTTTTTCTAAAATGTTCTATGTTCTATCAGCCATGTGGAATCATGTGTGTGTGCGTATTGGTAAAAATAGTATTTTGGCATTTTTCTTAAGATTGGCATAGTTATGGTATTTTGGTAATGTGTATCGTTATTCCACAGGGTTGTTCAAGATAATCAAAATTCAAAATTCTTGTATTTGTGGTCAAAGCTGTTTAACCAACAAACGTAACGTGTTATTTAATGTTAGTTGTTGTTGTAATCAATGTTTGTACTTGTTGTCTTTGCAGCCGTGTGTCTAAGTCAGCCCAAATATCGTTTTCATCTATGCCTCTTATCATTTGTAGTATTTTAATTCTTCTCTTTTTTTTAAGACAAAACTGTTCGAATTTTTCTTTCGTACTACTCTGTGTTTTGTGTCTCAAGTAGTGAGCCTGTCTAGCATCTAGATAATAAATGTTTCGTTATTTTTCTTCACAATTTACAACAAAACACTTTACAGATACAAAAGGGGCTATATTTATAAGTATATAGTCTTAGAAAAAATTGCGAAAATCATACATAGTAAAATAAATATTTTATTAAATAAGCCTAAGGACCTTCCATCCTCTAATCCCGGATAAAGAGTAGGGTATTCGCATATTTTATTGACGTTTATAGAATAGTTTTTATATGCAAACGAATTTATAGTGTTAATATTTAAGATTACATCATTAGACTTTTGCCTACTTAAAGTTAAATATTTAAAAAGGACGAATTCAGTCAATCAACAAATGCTGTGTGGGATCGCTAGGGCTAGTCATAAATATATGAAAACATAAAACTTACGTGCTCGAATACCAGGCAGGGGTACTTATACACAATAATCGATAGTCGGACCTATCGATGGAGCTATCTACGTTGCTTGTTACACATTCACATTAAGCCAACCCGAAACTGAACACACAATAAAACGAATTTTGTATTAAACTCAAAACTATTTTGCTCCTAATTTTAATGCGTGCGCCAAGTAGCTTTTATGCATTAATTTGTACATTTTGCCGCTTTTCTGTGTTCAATGTGTCTTGAATGTGGCATGCTCTTCCTCTGCTCTCTTGTGCGCTTTGTATAAAGTAAATAATATATGAAAAGCAAAAGTATTTATAATTTCAATTCAATTCTTACTAACAAATTTGGTTGCCTTTTAAGCTTAATGCTTAATATGTGCTTAATTTTACTAAGTTCAATTAAGTTAAAATTAAGTTTTTCTTTTATGTTTTAAAAACAAATAAATTTAAAATAAATATATCTATTTTAAGTTACAACTACTAACCTACTATATAAACTCGACCACAAAGTTTGCTTAAAGAAAAACTAAAAAAAAAAAAAAATACCAACAAAAAATCTCATCAGCTGCAGAAGCCCAAAATAAAAACAAACAGTTAAAGCGCCTATGATAAAATACATAATATGTATAGATCTAGTAAATCATAAGCATATTTTTTTAAAATATTCTATAAATATTTTCAACGCCAACAGACGAAGCCGAAGATGGCCGTGAGACTGCAATTTCAATTTCCAGCTGCAGTCCTCAGCCAGTGCCTGAGGTGCCCGACGAGCCATTGGTTAAATCGCCGCCAGAGCCCACAAGGGTTAAATCTCCGGAGCAGATTATAATGCGCTCTCCCGATCCAGTCAACTGGACGGTGCCCTTGGACACTGGCAAGACATTTACTGTAACACAAAATGTCAAAGAGGGTAAAAGTACTTTTGAAATATTAAAAAAAATGCAGTTTGATATATATAATTTTCAAATTTCTCAGGCGAGAACTACAGCCGACCTCAGAGCGAGATAAAAGCGTCAACGCCGGTGGAAAAGCCACCACCGCCACCACAATCGGCACCGCCACAACTAACCGAACAGGCTAAAATGGACGGTAAGCCTTTAAGCACGCTTCAATAAACGCCACTTCCATAAAATCCAACCAAAAAAACCAAATATGAAGTCGACATAAGTAAACCAAGAAACCAAAAACTAATACAAAAAAAAAAAGAATAAAAATAAAAACCACACACAAGAAAAGCAAAAAAAAAAAAAACAAATCGCTTTTACAAATATTTATATATTAACTCGTATTTAAATATATGTATCTGTATATGTATATGTATGTATCGCTACTCACAACCATCATCCAAAAATCCAACAAAAAAAATCAAATCATCGTTAAGCAATCGTCAAAATACCACTCGCAACACCAGCCAATGCCAATCTCAAAAACTAAGCGTAAATATAATGCAAACAACTTTCCTCTTTCTCTCAGTATTAAGCCAAATTTCGCAATTAAAAAAAATATCTAACAAAAAAAAATCGTTAAGCCAAAATGCGTATATTCACATAGCGTATCAATACGTAGTTCCTTTGCGTAACATAACAAAACACTATTTCCACAACTATTTCCCCCTCCACTGCCATCCACTGAACGTACCACAAACACACACAGCTTGGAAGACCAGCGGCAGTCCAACAACCAGTGCCGCCGCCGCCGCCGTGGCCGCTGTCTATGGCAAAACGCTGACGCCCACCCAGCCGGGCGGCGCGGTCCGTTGCGATGCCAGCATCAAGCCGGAACCGGCTATTTCATCATCTTCATCGACAGCGACTGCGTCAACGGCACGTTCCACCGCCGCCGATGTGCTGGAGAAGGCGCGTGACCGTTTCGATCGCTTCTGGGGCGGCAGCAGCAGCAGCGCCACCAAGGAGGAGAGCGTCTAAATAAAAATGTAGTCAAAAGTGTATGAAGTGCAAAATGTATTTGACATGAGCAAAATTCAATTGATCAAACAGCGTTCAAAATTTGACCTAAATGTCGCCCCAAGCATACATGTCACATAACTATTATCGCAAATTCAGTGCTGCGAAATTATCGATAGTGCCACAGCTCGATAGCTTTTAAAGTCGATAGCATCGATCCATTTATATACGTTTAGTGTGGTACTCCTCTTTCGAAACTTCTAAAAACTAATTCGATATTAGTTTTACTTATAATGTATACCTTATTTAACTTCTTATTTTTTATTAAAACCTTGACTAATGACTAGTTACAAGGAAAGTTTATAGATCTATCGAGATTTCCATCAATAGTTTTGCAGCACTGTCCTCTTTCCTATTTGTCCTTGTCCTATTTCGGCTAAGCTTATATGGAAGACAACTCGAATGCTACCAAATAAAATAATTTGAGTAAATCTTAGTAAATTATATAAAATTCAATTTCAACACCCACGTTAAAGTATCCAATAGGAGTATACTAGGATTTCAACTGAATTTAACTTAGATGATATATTATTCAGGGAAATCAGTCGTATTCTGCGTGATATATGATTTTCAGCGTTGCACATAAATTATTCTTTAAAATGTAAAACACTTACTTTCACTGCCTATAATCCCCAAAAAAAAAAAAACAAGAATTTTGCAAACACCCAAACACAAGCTGTTCAACAATGCAGAAAACAAAAAATGGAGATATAAAATAAAATACTTCAAAGTATTCCAACATAAAAAGAAATCTTTTAATAATAATATAACGCAAGGACAACATCACCGCAGAGACCCGTCCAACAAAAAAAAGTGAACAAGATTAAGAAAAAAGTATTTAAGGTAAAAACCTAAAAGTTTTGTAACTTTCATTAAGCGCGAAAAAAAACCAGGAAAATCGAATGGCAAATTTCTTATGCTGAGTAAAATGGGTAATGCATAGGGTGAACTAAGCTGATCCGGAAAATAGAACACGAACTTGAAAATAGATTTTGCACATAAACTACAATTTAAAGAAAATTAAAAGATATTTATGATATTTTAAGTAAATTCTTTGGCTATGATGGTTATAACACACACACACACACTTCGATACAACACACTCAACACACACAAATGTACTGTACTACAACAAATAAGAAGCGAAATGTTATACGAGAATTGAAATGCGTTTAAGATTTTGCAAGACGTTCACTTATTAAAGGAACAGTGAAATTACTTTTGCGACACACATTTAAAATATAAATATGGCATTATCTAATACAACTAAAAAAAAAAGAAACAATGATGCGAATTAAGTGTTAGCAAATTAACTAAAATGCTTCCCAAAGAAAATACAAACATTTGTCTAAACTGAGAAGTTATATTTGCAAAAATTGCAAGCATGAACAGCGTATTGATTTTTTTCTGAGTACAAAACAAAAACATACTCAAATGCTAAATATTTATTATAAATTTGCAGTAGTAACAAGCAAAATTTAAGTTAAATTATTAAGTTGAATTCAAATATATAATTTCACAAAAAAAAACTTCAAGCTTAAAATGTAGTGTTAATAAAAAGAACTGAAGTTAAAATTTCACTACTGATTAGCTAGTGATTAACTTCAGTATTGAGCTTAATTGTTGCTTGCATATACATTTCTATTATTAAAATAAAAAACAAACTACAACAAGACACATAAATATAAAAATATATACATGTAAAACAAACTAAACAAACACTAAAACAAAAACAAAGCTTCAGTGGTATTTATTAACACAGTTAAAGTATGTATTTTTATATGTTTTTCATTGAAATGCTTGTCTGTTAGTTGAAGCTGTTGATTTGAAAACTAAGTCTTAAAGTTAAAAACAGAACCCAGTTTAAAAAAAAACCATGTTATCCAGTATCCTCAACATTAAAACTCAACAAATGTTTGTTTATGAAGCGCAATCTATAAGATTTGAAAAAAAAAAAAACCAAAAGTAAAACCATACTGCATTAGTTAGAAACGATTATAAGCAAAAGCTTAACTAAATATAGCCTTGATAAAATAAAAAACCCGGACACTTATTCACACACACACTCTCAAAACTCTCTTTCCAATTACAATTTGATGTAACAGAATGACAAAAAAAAACAAAAAAGAAATAATAAATAATTGAAACTCATTTAGTTTTAACTAACGTACTTAACAAATTTTAGGCAACTTTAATATGAATCTACTTAAGAACAAACTTGACAAATATTCTAGCTTGTTTACAACAGAAAATGTATACAAATAAAAAATATATAAATATATACCACAGTACGATCTGATTGGTATGCTATATACTGAGGTTCAAGCATATGCGTTGCATAAAATTTCAAAAAACAATTTCAAACTATTTGTTTCGAAATCGTAATATACATTTTTAAAATTAACATTCACGCCAGTGTGCAAACGCATTTTAAAAATAAAAAGTAAAAAAAAAACACGCATAAATTGCAATAACAAATCTAAAGAAACACCAATTTAAAAGGTACTCAATAATTTTGCCCGTCATACATAACAAAAAAATAAAAACTAAGGCACACCAAATAGCCTTGCAAAGATTTAAAAAAGAACTTATAAAAGGACATAAGAATGTATGTACCAACTCAACAACAGCAAAAAATATAAATAAAAGTCAAGTGATTGTTAAAAAACATTAACGACAATTGTATGGTCAAATAAATGAAAAGCGCATATAAACGTTTTAAACAATTGTCCGTCGTTTAATTTCCAAACAGTTCTTAATGCCATCCACTTATGCTGGCATTCTGAGAAACAAAAACACAATTAGTTTTGTTTTGTGTTTAGTTTTTATTATTTTTGCTATTATTATAAATGTTGATATTATTACAATTTTCATAAAGAAAACTTCTGTCTATTATAATTTGCATATTATATAGGGGGGGTAAAAGTTTGAATTGCGTTAGTTAACATTCTTAATATTTTTGATGGGGCTTTGTGGAGTTTTCTGCAATCGATTTTAAAACAGTTTACTACCAACGACAGGTAAGGAAAAAATATTCAGGTATTCCGTTATTTGTTAATCTCGTTCTAAAGTTAGTTGGGATTTTATTTTAATGTTTAATCGTTATCTAATGGATTTTGTTCGACATTTGTTTCAATATTTAATAAATATTTTATTTCCATTGCATTAAAATTGTTTTCACTATTATGCGTTTTCAAAAACTTTTAATTAAATAGGTTTTTTTTAGTTTAGTTTGCAGGGAGATTTTTTAAGAAAGCTGTTATCACAGTATTGTTAAAATAAAATTAAAATGCATTAGGTTAATTTTTGTATGTTGGAAAATACAAAATAATTAAAATATATATTAATTAGTTTACATTTATAAACTGAAAAAAAGATAACTTTTTTGTTAAGCAAAGTTTGTGTTTTTTTTATTAATTTTTTCGTTTTAAAGGTTTCTCGAAAATACATGTGTCAAAAAAATGTTTAAGTATTTGGTTGAGTTAGTTTCGCGTTTAGTTTGATTGTTATTATTTATGCGGTCTTCAACGATTGTGTTTATTAATTAATTTTTTATTACATTCGTGCATTATTTTCTTAAATTAGTTATTTGAATTGGAATGGGGTTTGTTGCCTTGATTATGTTGTTGCCGAAGATTATGTATGGTAAGCATAAATAGTTGCACAAATATGTGACTAAGCTTGAGGGTTGAGTTTTGTGCTACACAAAGAAAATGGAATATTAGTGGTTCAGTATAACAACAAATCAATTGAGATGGTCTGGGCTCATATATATTTCAATATCAAAATATATAATATATAGACGTCGCTCAAGTGATTTGTTATATGAATATATATCTATATAAGCGCTATACACTTTTCTGTGTGTGTCTTTTCCAAAAAACTCACTCAATTGGAGACAGCTTGAGCAAATGTTTTGAAAGCAACTTTAGTAAGTATATTTGAATGGGTGATGCAACGGTCGGATTGAATGATTTATGCAGCAATTAATTTAACACAAATAACAGATTTTTACTTATATGCAGCTATATATATAAATATTTATATATATATATATATATATATATGTATATATATATATATGGTATGTGTTATTCGTACATTTGCTAATTGAAAATAGGTAACTATAAAAATTTAGCACAATTTCTTAAACGTTACAGTTAAGATTCAAGTTGTTTTCTGTTTTTTTTTTTAAACAATTAAAAGTTATACTAAAAAGATCTGAAACACAATATTGTGCGGTCCAGTGCTAGCTAAATTTTTGTATTCAAATAAATAGGGCGCTGGCGCCCCGCACCAAGACGTACCCTTTTGCTTAACTTTAAACTTAAATTTAAATTAATATAAATAAACGCATTAAGAGTTTTGTTTTTTGATTATACACAAAAAATGACACATTTAACAGACTTTTCTTTGTTACTTATAATATTTGCATGGATATATTAGAGTGGGCTACACAAACATTAAAATTAAGTTTATTTTTTAACTATAACTAAGCATATGTAAAGGTTGCGTGGTTTTCTTTTTCTTATTGCCACAATTGTAAATTTGAAAATTGCTTATAAATTTAGAATAATCTTTAAGTTCTTTTTGTTTTAAGTTGTTTAAGTGGGGCCTTAGTTAAGTGGAAAGGGAGGGGGGGGGGGGTGGAGGAGGCAGGAGGGATATGGTGAAGTGGAACGGGGATGGGGAAGGTAAGTTTTTTGCTAAGCGTAAATTGAATTTCAAACTGTACTTAAAACTAAATGCATTTTTGTTATTTAAATTTAGCATGTGCCTCTACATATAAATTCGTTTAACTGCCAATTAAATAATTTATGCATTTTGTCATACATATATATTTTGAGTATATATGTATAGGTACATATTCCAACATGAAATTCAGTTCGCTTACGTGACTAAAACTGAAATTGATAAGTCTTCTCAAAACATAGTTATATTATGCATGTGTGTATATATGTTGATGGAAAAATAATTTAGTTGTATATGTATAAATGTATACATATGTACTTATATATATGAATGTAACGATTTTCTTTAAGGTAATTAGTTTGTTTTCGTTTTCTTGCTTTTGAATTAAATACAGATAAATGTTTCTTTCATTAGTCCCGCTCTACGGCTAAGCGTCGTCGTGCAGCCCCCAAATAGAGAAAAACAGGGGTTTTATTTTTTAGCTAAGCTAGTCTATAAATAGTGATTGTTGTTTGCATTTATCTCATATAAAATTATCTCGCTTACCTAACATACTAAACAGCCTCGCCCCAACATTAACTAGTCAAGCACAACACATTTCTCTTTAAGTTCGTTATTCACTTTGCGTTTGCTGTTGGCTTAGACTGAATTCCCTTTTGTACTTTGCTTAGTTTTCGCTCAGATCCTTGATGGCTTGAAGTATGCGTTTAACATGACCCACTTTAACCACACCCAAATCCTTAAGATCACGTCTGCCCAAAGTGAGCAGCTCCTTGCCGCGTATGTCGTTCTTAAGAAAGCTATCAACATATTCTGATAACTGCATCGTTTCCAGCCAGGTGACCACCTCGTTGACGCTCCAATTGCTGACCGCCTCCCGTGTATTTGTGAGTGGAGGCTTAAACTGGTGCTGGCCAGCGGTGGAGCCAGAGCGCAGACGTACCCAAAATGGACGTGATTTGCGGCGTCCATCGGACTGTAGTTTAAGAAATAAAGCGTTAACTAAATATTACTCATTTAGAATTTAGTTTGGTTCTTACTTCCTCATTGGGCGCCAGCACATTGAAGTAGGCGCGCAGTTTTCCATCGATGCATTTTTGTACGGAGCACTTCTTTAGCTCCATTTCCATGTTGGCCAGTGCGGCGCTCAGCTTGGTCTCCAGGTCCTCGCGTAGGATAAGACTATGCCCACGATCTCGCAGCAGCACGCACGCATCATCGTAGAGTTGACGCGACGAATCGATGACCTCCACTAGCTTGGTGCGTAGGGAAGGCCCCTCCAACAGCTTGCCCTGCGGATGTATGGACTCCAAAGCCTCGCTGGCACGACAGGCCACCTCATAGAGATCATGCTGCAGCGCCGGGTGCGAGATGATCAAGAATTTGACCCACTTAACCAGCGAACTGACTGCCTCTATGAAATTCAACAGCACATAGCATTCGCGCTCTGATATGACCTCATCCGTGGATATGGCATGCTCGGAGGCAGTCGAGGATGTTTCACGCTGTATGGAAATACTATGCTGTCGCTGCTTCTCCTGCCAGGTCTTTAGCGACACCTCTAAGCTGCGATTGCGGCAAAGCATCTGCACGCGATTCTTGTGCAGAATGCGTATCATGCCCGGCGGCTGCAGCCAGGCCTCCCCATCTACCTGTATGGGTATCTCCTCATCACCCAGTATATTGATTTGCACGCTCTGGCATTGGGCAATACGATGATGCTGCAGATTAATTAAACGCGAGGCGGCCATTTGCACCGAGCCAAAGACAGCGACCACCTCCAACACACGATCATCGAAACTGGGCTGCAGAAATATTTCCTCCTTCTTGGTGCTGTTGCCCCAGAAATTGGTGCCGCCCATAAAGCTGGGTATATTCAAGATGACAATGCCCTGGAGCTCTGGCAACGGTATGCGCTGGCCATCGCACTCCAGCTGCACGCGTTGCTCCAGATTCTTGCAGGTCTTCTGCAGCAGCTGCTTGGAGCCCAGGACTCCATACCACATATAGTTGCGTGCTCTGGAGCGGCACTTTTCCGGATGCTCCTCGCGCTTGTTGTGGAAATCAAGTGAGATTTTGGCATCGATGCCAATGCCAAAGTAATTGTTCATCACACACTTCTCATGATAGCCAGCGAGCAGAGTTTCATCAGGATCCATCAAGGGGCTAACAGCAGCGCAAAGGGTATCCGCATTGGCGAGCAGACACTTAGATATGAAGCCAGTGCCATTGGCTAGAGCTGAAAAGTTAATGGTGTTATGTAAGTAAGGTTATGAGTGGGTGGGACTCATGGTATAGTTTTAAAGAAAGTTGGACAAATCCTAACTAGGAATTGAAATTATGGAAATATTTTTTAAAAGAATTAACTGCTCGAGATAGCCAGGCAACTCGAGTTCAACAATTTAATTAATTTCTATCGATACATTATATTGGAAACTCATTATATCCACATCTCGAACTCTTTCTAATCTGCTCCGTAGATACTATATCTCATGAGTTCCAATTATCCTCAATAGCTTTAACATAGTACAAAAACCATTGTACTTACTTGGCCAATTGGGCAAGCGCACTAGAGGGTTTATAATGGGCAGCTTGCGATTAGCCTCCTCTGTGGGTGTCTTCTCCTTATCCCTGCCCGATTTATCATCCTTATCGCCGCCGCTAAAGTGTTCAAACCCGAATAGTGAAGAGCCCATAAAAAGACTCGACTTGGAGCCCTTGAGCGTCTGTAGATTGGGCAAAGCTTCGTTCGGCTGTAAGAAAGAGGCAAAGATTAGATAGAGCTAGGATCATTGAGACGTTCGTGTCAAAGAGCAACTGGAAAGTCAGCACTAACTACGATACAAAGAAACATGTGGGTGTGGCTGAGCGAGTGTGTGTGTGTGAGAGAGAGCGAGTTAGATTTTGGAGTGTGAGGGTGTGTGCGTGTGTCAGTGTTGTGTAATAAGGGACGCAGGGCTTATAAGTGGAGAGCATAAGAGTGGGAGAGAGAGAGAGAGAGAGAGAGAGAGAGGGAGAGTGAGACTGAGAGAATGAGTGAAAGAGAGACAGCGCACTACTTGAAATTAAAAACCATAAATTAATTGAAAGCAGAGGCGTGTTTTATTAGCGGTTCTTACGAGAATTATTTAGTGTTGGTTAACGATAGTTTAAAATATTTGGTATTAAGCAACACTACTGTTCAAGACGACAACACGTGTGTAAATCAATAAATCATAAATTGAACTTTCGCGAGTGCTGGTAACCACAAACGGAAACTGAAGCAGAACACTTCAATTGGCATTTTATACAGAGGATATTACTAGTATATATTGCATATATAGTTATTCATTTGCTGGGGATTTACGGATACACATCGAACGAATGAACGAGCGTATGGAACGAACGCAGGAACGTAGTAGAAAGGATGGACCCGACCTCTGGTTACGGGCTTACCAGCGGTATCAGCGGCCTAATAAGCGCCAGAGTTGCCAGGCGTATGTCTGGTTCGGCGACCACAAAGAAACGCACATTGAACAGTCCATAAGTGCGTTTAGTGTTATATTTTTGGGGTTTCTTCTAAGAAAATTTATTTAGTAGTGAATTAAATAGTGATAATTTAAAAAAAAAAAATTGTGTGTATTATATGCATTACAGAGTGAGTTGAATGTATGTTTAAAGCTTTTCAGTGTTGTGAAATTATAAAAGAAATTCATACAAGCAGTTCACATAATTTCGAAATACGTACCAATTGATTTGTGCTTTGTAAAACATATATTGTATTGTTATAAATAAGTTGATATTCATACATATATATATGTAAAATTATATATGTATGGTAATTATTGTTGTATTATGGTTAATATTGTTCAGTGTTTTTTTTTTTTTTTTTTAATATAAGTCTTGTTCTTAGAACTCAAACACAACTAGCTAAATTATAGATAATATGGCAAATTAAAGTAAAAATGCTTTGTATATAGTATATATTGTTCGATTTCCATGGTGTTAGAAAATTGATTTGACAATTTATACCTTAAGCAACAGGGTAAAGCTGCTTAGGGTTTAACTTGAGTATGGTAAGCAAGATGCAAAAAATACATTTTTTGATTTCATATTTCTCATGTTTACTCTGATTTCTGGGTTGTCACTGTCGTCATATTTTATCGCTGTGTAGACATTAAGACCACAAGCATATTTTGTAATATTTATTAGTTTATCAAGGAATTTAAACAAAAATTTGTATTCGTATTCGACCTGTGAATCGCACAAAATGCTTTGATGAAAATTAAATAAAATTCGTGTAAACCTAAACGCAAATTTGCAGCTTATCGAGGGTATTCAATATAAAAAAAAAACATTTACCTAAAATCGCATTTGTGTGTTTACGAGAATTTTTTTTTTATTGAATTACTGCATTCTGCATTGCTCGGCTGACACATTATATATTTGTTCATTTATTTTTTTTTGGCTCTTTGGTCATTTTCTGATGCATTAGTGCCAACGTAAATCATATATATATTTAATGGGGGAACTGTATGTTTTTCTGGGCGGGACTTACCTTGAAGAGGCTGCCACAGCTAATTCTACGACTAGCCGCGGGTGAACTGCTGAGGAAGCGCGTATGTTCCGGATCCAATGTTAGGTAATTCGGATTGAAGCCGGAATGCCGGCGATCTTTATCCTTGTCATATTCGCGCACAGCTAGGCTGGGCGCATGACTTGAGTGTCGTCGTATCTCCGAGCTGTTCAATGTGCGCACACCGAGCAGACACGACGATGCCGCCAATATGGACGACGACGATGATTTAGCTGGTTTTATGGAATCGCCACGCAACGGTGTTGGCGGCCTTACAACAACACTTATCTGTGGATAGTTGGGATTTACATCATCAAAGGATTCTTTCTTACACGACTCATCAAAAGTAATGCGCTTTACATCTTGTCCATGACCCGATCTCTTCGTTGGCGATGTCGATGTGACCAATGCCGATTCAAGTGGTTTCGTTGTGCTTGTGGTTGTTGCTGTTGTTGTGCTTATTGCGGTGCACATTGTGCTGCGTTCAGTATCGTTTATTTCGATTTTTATGGCTGTTTCTGTTGACAGTTCATCCAGTTCATCGCTAGTCGTAGTCATTGTTGTCGTTGTCAGATTTGGATAAACAATTGTAAGGGCTGTATTTGTGGGCGTGCCCGCCTCTTCGTTAGTGTTGCCCTGGTCGTTGTCGTTGTTGTTGTCACTGTTGCTATTGCAATCAAGCATTAGCTGCTGTTGAGATACGATTGTTGTTGTAGTAGCTTTGAAGTTCTTGAGTGAGATGCGCTTTTTGTGACGCTTCATTTGGAGAGTCGACAGGAGCAGGATTGATTTATTTGTTTGAGATATATATATATATATATATATATATATATATATATATATATATATATATATTCGATATTTGTTTGTTTTGGTTTGATATTTGGTTTATTAGTTTTGGATGTAGGCAAGCAAGTTAACGTATTCGGTTTATTAAGAATACACAAAAAGAAAAGTTTGAAGAAAGAAGCAAACGGAGAGCAACAAAGATTTTTACCATAAGTGGCCAAGTCTGAGCACTTCCGATTAACGTAACATAGCTATAGCTCTATATATAAATATATATGTATACAAATAAATTACCTACTTTGCGCCGGGGCGGCATTTTGCACATACCTTAAAGCTCTGACGCGCTATATCGTTACCTTCCACGAACTGCGCCAGGCTGCAGTAGCGCGGCGGTTCCCGTATTTTTTGATCATCGCAGCGATTATCGATCTCAAACACAATATTCTCAAAGCCAAATTGTTGGGGATTGTCATCGCTGTCCATGCGGGCCAGTTGCGCCCTGCGTGGGGGCGAGGAGTTACGACGACGCGGATGCGTCTTGCTTTGGGTCAACGCGCTCATGGATTTCTTGCGCGGGGGCTTGCTTGGCCCGGCATGCTCGGAGCAGAGGGTGGTGGTGTCATCCGTGATGGTGTTATCCTGCAGCGCATTGGTTATATCATGGCCGAGCACAGAGCTAATGTCATCCATCAGACTCTCGCCGTGCATGGCCTCCGTCTCGTCGCTCGTTTCCGGCGAATCAATGTGTGTAAAGTTACTGGCATCCAGGTTCTAGTTAGGTAAAAAGAAAATAAATAAATTCTGGTTGCATTCCGCTATATCCACATATCCATTTACCTGTAGTATATCCCCTAGACTATGACCCGGCTCGGGCTTGTCGAATATTTCAGAAGCCACGCTGCATTCTTCATTGCTAATGGCGGACAACACATCGCTTGCCTCACCGCCCAGATCCTCCGAGGAAGACTGTTCCTGTGTGAGCAAAAGAAGACCTAAGTTAGATTCGTTCACTTGATGGGTAGACAATGCCATACAGTGTTCGCTTGGGCATCGGTATCAATGATAGTTAGGCTTGCGCTAGTGTAAACATTTTGGGAGTGAGGGGTTACGACAACGCCGGGTACCTGCAGGTTACAAGTGTGTACCAGAGCGGGTTGTGGCTGCAGTGGCTCGCATTTCTCGTTGGTGTCGACATCTTCCTTCTCGCAATCCTTTTGAATGCTTGCATTGCGCTCCTTATCCTTGTCCAGTTCGCGCGTCATGTAGTAGGTGCGCTCAAATACCTCAATGGGACGATAGTCGGAGAGTGGATCCACAATCGGTTCGCTCGTCATGATGGGCACACGCAGAAAGTCCACCTTGCGCTCGGTGGGCGTATTGTCGCCGGCATCACTGCCCGGCGATAGGCGATTGCCAGCATCGTCAATATTGGCGCCACCGCTTAGCGAGAGGCGGCTAATGTGATAGACTTTCTCTCCATTAGCGCCCTCCTCCAGCTCCTGTATGACTTCCGGAACGCCTGAGCTGCGACGGCTATCCGCAAATTGACGCGGCGCTGGCAAATTAATGCTGTTAAAGAAAGTTTCATCCACCGAATCGCGTCGCGTGTCTGGCAGCGGTGATATGCAGGTCAGACGCGATGTTTCCATTGTGGGCGATATTATATTAATAGGTGGTATTATTGGCAGCGGTGAGCTGCAGGGCGTCGACTCGCCAGAATTGTTTATGGGTATTTTGAGCGCCTCAAATGGTGTTATCGAAAGCTTGCGCTGATAGCGCTTTGGTCGACCTGGCTCCGAGTGCTCCACCACATTGTAAATGGCCCGCTTTACACTATTGGCCCTGCTCTGAAGGGCCTCCTTTTCGCTGGAGCGCAGTGATCGACTATTGCGACGCTCGTTTGTATTTATATTATCCTTTTCGGTTTTTTCAATAGAGATGTTCGGACTGCTACAAACGGAATGTATGTGAAAATTGGTATTTAATAGATTTTATACTCCAAAAACTGTACTTGATTCCAAAAAAATTAGGATGATTGATTGATGCAGGTCAGAGCAAGTAACAGGTTCTAGTCGCGAGCTCCCGACTAGGGGATACCCTAAACCTTCTTATTCCAACATCAAATGCATATATATATTCTAGTTTAGAAGCTATATGTCAAGTTTGGTGACTCTATCTCTTATTATTTACCAAAATTGCCCAAAAAACAGCATATTGATATCGATTCTTATCGATTGCTTGGAAACGGAGTATGTTATCGATTATCGGAAACAAACTCGATCTGCGCAGGCACTAGGAGCACATACATCTAAAATTTCTCTAGCTCTTATAGGTTCTGAAATCCTTGCGTTCATACATACGGACAGATGGACAGACGGACGGACGGACAAACGGACAGACAGACAGACAAACATGGCTAGATCGACTCGGCTATTGATGCTGATCAAGAATATATATACTTTATGGATGCTTTCTTCTGCCTGTTACATACATTTGGATTTTGCACATATACAATATACCCTTATACCCATTTTTAAAGGGTTCAGGGTATAAAAATGTTTAAATGGATTTGATTTCAGGCAGGACAAGGCAAATAGCATTGCATACATTGCAGCTCAGCATTATTATGCAGCATTTTATTGCATACTTGTCACTGATGCTATGATTCACAATTCATATATTTTACTGCATACTTGTGGGCAGTGAAATTTAATTGCTCCTTGAATTGTTGCTGCAACACAAAGATAGTTCTAAATTTATGTATAATCATTGGGAATACTTTTGATGTATTTATAAATAAGTCCAAAAAAAAAACTTTGCAAATTTTTTAAAACCCAACTTTTAAGAAAGTGCTTGCATTATTAAATTGTAAAAAATGGTGCCACAGTTTTGCTAGAGAAAAAAAAAAATAACACAAAAATCATAAATTAATTGCAAATATTTCTCACAAATTAGTGTTGCGATACAGAAACGAGAAAGAAGGACTATCTTCGGCATGCCGCAGATTTAATACCCTTGCAGACTCAGCCTTTTCATAATAGTTATAGTGTTTTGCCCATATATAAGAAGCTCAGGTAAAATAATTAATGCCGAAAAAGTTTTTAATATTAGAACCTACTTTTCGACCGATTGTTTCCATGGAAGCTATATAATATAGTAGTTGGATGTAAAGCAAAAATGAAGGGAGCATAGTGAAATTTCTAAATGCCGTGTTTAATCAAAATATCTTGAAAGACCAAAAACTTTTCCATACAACAACTTAATTTTCGACAGATCGTTCCTTTTGCAGCTATATGATGTTGATTGGAGCATAATAAAACTAATAAATGCTGAGTTCGGTCTTGAAAAACAAAAAAAAACTTTTATACAAGAACCTACTTTTCGACCGATCGGTCCTATTGCAGCTATAGTGGTCCGATCCAGCTAGTTGCGACATATGTACTGCGTGTAACGGAACGAGGGACTTCTGCAAAGTTTAATTAAAACAGCTTTAAAATTGTGAGACTAGTTCTCATTAAAACAGACAGACGGACATGGCTATATCGACTCGGCTCATGATACTGATCAAGAATATATATAGTTAATGGGGTCAGAGATGACTCCTTCTATGCGTTACACATTTCACGACAAAATTATAATACTCTTTGCAAGGGTAACTATCTTTTCTGAGGAAAACAAGGTAACTTTTGTTTTCGAAATTAATGAATTCGGAAAATCCGAAATAATGGCAAATGTCCTATGTTTTTAGTTGGAAAACATCAACGAGTATATTTTGGTACGCTTCGATAAGCATTTCAAATAAATTCAGCATATTTAAAAGGGTGAAAACTGATCACTAATTGAATATATCCATTTGCACTATATAAAATTTGATTTTCGCACTTAAACTCAATACGATTTCTATTTCAGTTCCTTAGTGGAACTACAAGATTTAAACATTGATTTCAGATTTAATTTTTTTAAAATTTATTTATTTCCTTTACTTACAGGAAGGATGGTCGCGCTGACATCGTTGAGGACACACCCCGCGATATTAGGCTTCGTATTGTGGCTACCAAATCGTCGCCACTGTGCGCTCCCATCTCCTCCTCCTGCAAAGCGTCCAGTAGCATGGCCAGCTTCTGCCTTAGGATGTCACATTTGACGGTCAACTGCTCGTCGTCCTTGTGATGCGCACAGATGCGTGAAACCAGCTCGTCAACGGTATCGCACAAGGAGCGCGTCGAGGAGATTAACGTTTGTGTATCGTTCGTATCGACTATGAAGCGCAGATGATGATTGGCCGAAGTGACCATGCTCGTGAGCAGCGCCTCCTGTTCCGTGGTAATGGACATTTTCGGTAATTTGGGCACACTGATGGCCTTTTCAAAGACCATAATGCTCCAGCGATCCAGCATTTTAGTGCTAGCCGATTCATAGCGCTCCAGTATTTGCGGCAAGTGTGTGTCATCATCGCAGCTGGAGCCCCAGCCCAAGACCCGGGCCAGATCGTTGCCGGTGCCCAGGGGCATGACAGCCACTTGGCATTGTTTCTGTTCCATAATGTCCCCAGTTTTCCAAGGGAAAAATTCATGAGCGTGAAAAAGAACCAAAGATTAGGGGGATATGACTTACGTGCATATTAAATCGATCTATTTCGCTGAGCACCCAGCCGACGGAGCCATCGCCGGAGCAGACAAGTATGCGAAACATTTCAAAGTGCCGAAAAAGCCGCAGACCCAAACTCGGACCCGTTGAGATGAGGTCAAAGACCTGCGCTGGATTAAGCAGCTGCTTGAATCGTCGCAGAAACTTTACGCCTTGATTATCGCCGGACTTGGAGTTGACAAAGACGAGCAGAGGCGAAAAGTTGCCCTTCGGACTGACCACATCCCATGCGTCGTCGGTGCTAATCGAATGAACGCTGGTCGGCGGCACCACGGACAACTTGGCGGGTCCAATAGGACAGGCAATGGCCATTTGTGGCCGGCATGCCACATGCACCGTATCCCTACACCAGAGACAACGCCAATCCTGCAGCCGCAACACCGAACCGCAGGTCTTCTTGCACACCGCACATATCGCCGACACGGGCAGATTGCCCTCCATCCATTGATGCGGCATTATGATGCTGCCATCTGGCTGCTCAATGATATCCTTGCCGACCGTGGCCAACGTTGTCCACTTGCAGTTGGCTATCGCTTTCGCCGCACAGCGTTTGTGCACCTTGCATTTGCACACCTCGCAGCTTAGTCCGTGCGAGGTGACACCGGAGAGCGCATCCCGGCACACATTGCAGTAGGTGGGTCGCGCATGTGATGTCGCATACCAGTGATGGTGATTGGAGAGTATATCATGCTGATCGATCAGAAAGCTATCGCCGCGCGGACGTTGCGGCGCCGTTGCCGTCTTTAGGGAGCCCAGCCAATCCTCCATGTCGCGTCTAGAGTCGGCGCACAGCACCAGAGAGCGAGTGGGTGTTATTATCTGAAAGAGTGGATTGATAAAAAGAAATTTAAAAAATAAAAAATGTCGTCAATGTATAAGAACTGGCCATACAAAAGAGTTGCGATTATCTAAAGTGATTTATTAATTGGATTATCTTTTCTTAAGATTTACTATTTACGCGTTAATCAAATTTGAAATGTTAACCATGTAAAGCTGTAAGCCCAATCGATTTCTAGCCTGTAGGTTCCATTCATAAACTTTGTTTTCCAAACTCAAAGTCAAGTTTTGGCTCTGGCTAACATAAATTGGAATTTCTTTGACGAACTAGCTAGATTCAAAACTAGCTTGCAATACAAACTAAACAAATGAACACAGTTGTTGGTTGTTTCTGGCTTAGCTTGCAATTTCAAATATTGTTCATAAAAATGAATTCTAGAGAAATGATTGCAAATGTTAAGTACCACCGTCCGACCTTGTGCCAAATGCAGGGACTACGTGCTTATTAGTTGTGTAATCAAAGATGGGTCTATTAGTTCTTATGGCCTCATTAACATGCAAATAACTCTCATATTTATGTTAATATGCAGACAGGCGCGCCCGCCACACCTCTAAAATGGAATGTGCAAAACAATGCGCCAAGCCCCTAACGAGAACAAAGTGCTCTGTTGGGGTGGGGGTTGAAGGGCGTATTTCAATACTTGGGCAGGACCCGTATGGCCCAGCTGCGCAGTACAGTCATAATTAATGGACGACCCGCTCTGGTAAAGGTAATGTTAATTCTAACTAAAGCACGTCGGCTGCCTGATTATGATTTGCTTGTCATATTGCCTAATTTATGGCACACATGTCCTTCAGCCAGCATCCCAGCCGAGCAGTAATATTTGTTGTGAACTTTGTGGTCAAGTTCATTCGGGTAATTGATGTCAGAAAGTTTTCTCTTCTATTTTTATGATTATTAATTCTCCCTTTCTTTTTTCATTTTCTTTTTTGTTAAATTTTTTGGTTAACATTGCGTTTAGCCGCAGACCTTGGGTAAACCATGAGTTATGCGTTCCTGTGGATAATGTCCTGTCTGCCTGCAAATAATGTATTCCTATTTTTCTATTTCCTTATTAATAACGCGAGAAACAAGGTTTAGACAACTGCGTGGAAAATGTTTAAGAAATTGAATAGAAAACCCTTTATAGAAATCAACAAATGTTATATAAGTTGCGGCTGTCGAAGGCTTGCAAATAAATTGACATATTCTTGCATAACAATAAAAATCACCCATTTATAACATGTATATACCACGCCATAAAAAACCTGCAGTTCAGTATGTGAGTACAGCTGACCCATTTAACGGCAGTTGACATGCCATACATGGCAATGTCAGAGCTGACACAATGACTGAACGCAACACCAGATGCCAAGGATAACCGGACAGGGACCAGAGGTTAAGGCCACATCAACATTATAATCTACTTGTACGGGCCGAACAGAGTCCGCCTCTCGTTTGAGCTAAAAGCAAAACTAAAATAAGCCGATGCTAGCCCAATGTCCTGAGACCACTGTGATGACAAAAGTTAGCCACAAAATGTACATGGTTTGGGCTGATCCGAAGCCTGTCTGCATGTGAATTCAAGCATTACAATTTAACTCATAAGCTCATTGAGCTCGAAGCACACTGCTGCAAGCTACTCAGTTGCTGGTCAATGCAAACTTGATAATCAGAGATGATCCGACGAATTCGTTAGCAAAAGCTATTGCTATTAACACAGTAATATGTGCTACACTGTTTCATATCTGGCACGAGTTAATCATATTAATCATACTAATCATAGTAAAATCTAACAACAAGTAATCAGGAGCTGACATGACGAAATTTTAAGTTAACGTGTTCTAGCTCGACAATGAGCTAAAACGAATTTCACGCCTTAAAATTTTGTTTGTTTGGGATAAAGGAACCATTTTATTTAAAATCTGTTACCCGTCAACAATTATGAAATGTCTTGAAGGGTACTTAACTGGATGTGTTTCATTTGTAGCTATTTACTATTGTAATTATGTCGCCTTAATATAACAAAAGAATTAGATATCGCGAGCCGACTTAATAATAAGTGCTCACGAGGATTTACAGACTTCATAAGATTTACGGATTGATAGAGTTAAACTCGCTTAATGCGACAGAAAGTGACTTAGCAAGTCTTAACAGTTGGCAGTTACGGCAAAAGTCACGAATTGCATACTCATATCACAACCTAACGCTTAGTTAACACGCCTTAGCAGGACATAACAGTAAGGTAACACTACTTGGATCGTCTGAACAGTAAGAATTTACTTAAAGAGTCACGACTTGACTGATAACACTATCTATCACGGCTCAACCGAAAAAGCCTCTGTTAACTGAACAAATTTTTTATACATTTCTGAAAACATTTTTTGCAAAATGAATTACAAATAAAACATGCCGAAATGTCGAAAAGAGCACATTAAATGGAGCCTTTGCTTCAAGAACGCAATTTTTGAGTAATAGAAGAATAACTCTGCGACGCTTATGTAAATGAAAGCAACTCAATCAGCTGCTTATTTAATGAAGAAGTATTTTTTATGTACAATTTGAAAATGTGCCAGTAGACAGAGGCAATAAGCTCTCACGCCTTATCATCATTAATTTTTCGTATTTCGACACGCGCCCATCTCTAGTATTATATGCAAGTTTCAAAGTCAGGGTTGGCATTTGCTAACAATCATAGAATGGTAGTTAAGAGCTTGAGTTGTTTTGGGGACCCAACCGCAAATCAACCTCTGGGCTAATTACATTTTAATTGGACCGAAATTGGCAAATAGCTTCAGGCATTTGGAATGAAAAGCAGATTTGCATAGCCGCCGACTATTTTGCAAAATGTTACAGTTAAAGCGACCAATGCCGCAATTTGAACGCATCAACACATACATATGTATTTTCATCAGCTTATTCTGCTCCCCAGCTGCGAACTTTTGCGGTCTGACTCTGGCTCTGCCCATGGCCTTTTGGTATTCAATTAGTGCATAGTTGCATGTACCTTCTGCCCTGCCACCTGGCTGTGGCACTTGCAACATGTATATGCTTTTAAGCTTGGCTGGCGCGTGCGGTTTACTTGTCACTCACTCATGCACTGCCCGTCTGTTTGCCTGGCCACCTGCCTGCAAACGAGCAACATACCGGACAGCCACGCCCAGCTTGAAAATGAATGGGCGGCAAATGTTTGCCTTTGGGCGGTGGACAACAGTTTTCAGGGCTGAAGTGCGGATTCGGTTACCTTGAAATTGTTTGCCATTCTCGTATCTCGACAGTTGCATTTCGTTTCATTTCCTGATCATTTTCGTTTCATTTCAACTTTGCGCTGTCACTCAGAATCGAAGGGCTTTTAATACTTATTTGGTTGTCACAATTCGGTGGAATTTAAAGTTCGGAACTTTTAACGTTCGAAAATCGGTTGAGGTTTTGCCAAAGCTATGGAAGTTAACACTCTAGGAAGTCCCCGTTGTGAAAATGAGTATTAATTTGTGTTTTAAAAAATCATTTTATTTTCGTAAGAATATTTTAAAATTAAAAATATTAAAAAAAAATAGCGTCCCTTAATTTTGGAGTAGTGGACATACATTATATGTTTACTTATATTTATTATTTACTCGAATGAGTTGAATATAAATACAAAGAATTTCCAAATTACCTACGGCAGAAATCCATAATTAACAAACTATTTAACATGAAATTCAATTCGACTTTAAGCAAGCTTTAGAATATCAAAACTTTGCTAATGCTTATAAAAATGCAATCTATGTTCTGCTAAGTAATTAGTACTCTCTCGAATCTCAGGAATGCCGTGTACCTTAATAAGAGCAAGTTTTAATTAGCGAAGCTAGGTGGGCTGTTAGAGGCAGGTTGCACAAAATGCAGGCCGATTCTTCCGTGGCTTGGGCTTATTTATGAATACGTAGTTGGCAGCACTGCATTTTGTGCTTTGTTCTCTCGGATTTCATGGATTTCATGGACTGCACATGAATATCCATTTTGTGTTCGATACCACATGCTTTCAATAGCACGTTTCCTCTTACACGAAAGCCACATAAGAGGAGAGTTGTGAGTTTACAAACAACGGATCAAAGGTGACGTAAACAGGTAACGGTAACGGTATTTGCACTTAAAGCCCGGGGAAACGGCGCCACGGCCGTCAAAATGTCATAATTTTTATGGCAGCAAAATCGTAAAAATACTTTGTACACTTTCTAGACTCTATTTTATATAGCTTCACTTTATGTATATATATTATTATTATTATATTATATATTTCTATTATTGAAAACTTTTTTGTAGTAGATATAAAAATTATTTTATTTATTTCGACATAAGAAAAAATATGTTATAAGGAAGAACAGTTTACACTAACTTATTTTATTCAGTATTTTGCTAAAAGTAATTAATCAGAATCTGCAAAAAATATAAATTAATCATAAAATTTAAATTTGACATAAACAAAAGAAAAAAACAATTACATGTACATGTACTTCATGAATTAATTATTATCTCCCTAAAGATACGGACATTTTTCATTTAAGTGAGTTTAGTCGTTAATGTTCATAAGGATTTGGAATGCATTAAGCAGACATTGCGCACAAAGTACTTAAATTGTGAAGCATATAGAACTGGATTCTACGTCGTGACTTATTTTTATAAGATAAACGAAGAGCTTTTTAATTGAATCTTCAAGTATTTAAATACTTACAAAAATTTGACTGGCTACGCGACTCAGGCTTTATGATATTTAAATCGGGTAAATGATTGCTAAATATATTTCTTTCCGTTGCAGGATAACTGTATTTGGCTTCCGGCCACAAGCACAAGCCACAGTACGTTCGCTCACAGTGCACTCCAATCAAAAAAGTAAACAAACACAAGGCTCAGCCGGAGCCGGATCCGGAGCAGGGGTTGCCCCAGTTCGCCGCCAGAATTCATTACGCTAAAGACAAGAGGACGTCAGGATTGCGACAAGAGGACTGCGATTTTGGTTGCCTCG